CCAGTGATTCTCAACAGTTACAAATCGGCTCTGATCCCGCATCGTTTCTCGGGCTTTGGTACAAAAAGCTTCTGCTTTTCCATTCTTGGTGCGCAGTAGCCGCGTAGTCCTGGGGTTTTTGTGATTCTGGGCGTTCTTTTGACAACCCGAGCAACGAAGCGAGCACCCGTAATTTTGACATTCCACAACACCGACGTTGCATGGGTTAGAGACCATCCTCGCTGTGGACGATTGATGATCTAAAATTTGTGTGCTAGGTTTAATTTGAACGAAGCTCCACTTTCTCACGGAATCTGAGGAGATGTGCTCAATGTAACGGTCGGCCTGGCTGTGTTAAGGCAAAGAAAGGGTCAGCTAGGCTCTCAGATCTCAGGCTCGAGTATGAGATGCAGCTGCATCCCGCATCTCGCCTCTCGCTTCTCGCATCTCGCCTCACGGACACAAGTGCAGCTTGCTAGATTTGACGCATCGTTCCGTCGGTTTGCGGGCCGCTCCTTTAGAAAGCTCCCAGTTCCTCTCTGCTAAGGACATAGAAATTGGCAAAATTCGATTTTTGCTCGTGTAAACGTTTTGACGACAAAGGGCCTCGCGACTTGGAACTAATTTTGCCCCCTGATAAAGAAAGGCAGTGATGATTCCCCTCCTGAGCTTCTCCCACTGTGCCGGTTCCTGTTGAATCTGATGCCAGAGAACACTGCCTCTTTCTTATTCCAGTGAGTATAATTTCGACGAATCGGGTCTGCAGCCAAGTTTCCGACTACGATTCAGCGGTGTCTGGATCCAACATCGAAGTTCCCTTTCCGGTCGGATACGGAGCATAACAACTCGGAACTGGAGGAGGATACGTCGGCCCACATCCCAGCTGCCTGTAAAACCTGGGCGTTGGAAACCGATTTGTTTCGCACGAAGACCGATAGCCTTGGCAATCACGTAAAAGGTTGGAACCGGAATCCCTCGTTTCAAGTCCGCAGTCCGGTGAATGAATCATTAATTCATTGTGAACGTGACCGAGTCTGAAGGACTCCACGTGGTTTTGCACCGTCTACGATCTTTCGCAACCATTTCAACATACGTTCTTCCTTGGGTTCTTCTGTCGCCAGCGCCCGTTTGACTGGGAAAACAGGGCATCAGCCAAAATTCAGAACAGACTCCGCTTTGTGACGTCATTCTGCGTAAAAAATCAGACGTCTTAAGCAGGAGGCAGTGAAGAAACGCTTCTCTTGGCTTCGGTACACAGCTGTCGACCTTGAAGTCATGCTCCACAATTGCTTGCAGCGCGATACCTGACGCCATGCCAATTGTTTTCAATTTGTTCAGATTTCCGAAAAGCTTAATTTTTAAATGCCAGACGTGGTATATCTTTTCCTGCACGAGCTCCGTTCACAAGTACACCAGAGATGTTCTAAAGAACCACTCTCTTTTCAAAAAGCCTATCAAGGACCGGTACGCACACCTACCACTATCGATTCGCTACTAGAGCTCCTCAGCGCCCAGAATCTCAGGCGGAATTTGAAGGCAAATAGCAACGTCAATTGCCGTGTCGGCCTTTGTCTTAGTTCGGTGGCTCCTTGCGCCATGCACCCGCACTTTAGCGAGGCTGCTCGTAAGGATATGCAAGGTGACGCAAGAGCGGCTCACTTCAGCTCGTTTTTGTGGCCGCTGTGAAGACTGAAATTGCTGGGCGCAGCCAAGCTGCGCGGCGCGGCCGCCCACTGCCTTTCAAGAATGATGCCGGTGTCGAAGGGTTTGGCTTCCTCGTTCCATCATGTGGTGGCCTTTTCATGTTTGATCATCCAATCAAAGAGCAGATCGGCCACTGAACGTTTGCGTGAAAGTTGACGCAATCTAGATTTGTCGTACGTACGTGCAACCACGGAAGTTCCGCAGCTTTGAAAATCTTGAGTGCGTCTCAGCAATTTGTGGGGCGTGCATTTGACCAGGCAGGATAATCTTAATGCATACTTTGATACTGGGCCTAAAAGAGAGCTTTCTCGAGCGCCAAGACTGTAGAGTGACTCAATCGGTTCTGAAGGCACAAAACAACAGCCTTTAAAGGAACCCTGGGTTTGGACTACAGTCTGCAAGGTTAGACAAAAAGTACTGAGCGCGACGACGTACTACCTTCACTATTTTCTCACTGGAAAGTCTTTCTGGATAAGAAAGTCTCACTGGAGAAGAAGACGGCTTGACTTTGACGGTTTGTGACTGGGTTGAGGGCTGTTATGACGACCTTTGTGGGCTTGAGCCTAGTGCGCGGGTCATGAGAAGGATTGTGCTGAAGCTTTCATATTCCATTGTTCAACATCCACGGAGTGAAGGATGTGAGCTCTTGGCGTCCTGTTTGCCAAACAGCTGGCCACAGTTCAATTCTCTGAAACGCCACGAAAGTTAAAGGCCTGCCGACTTGACAGATGGTAAGATACCGGCCAGCTCGGTTCGTCGCACGTGCACGAAGAAACATGACCAGATTCTGCCTCGCCTAAGTCGCCTCGCAGCTCAAGCAGACCATGTACGTCGGTCTGATTGCCGTCCGAGCTCAATCGAGTGGGCACAAATGACTCTAGCGGGCGCTGGGCGCTGGCCGGTTCCGGACTCCGGTTCCATACTTCTTTTTTGGCTACTATGACATACTCAAGACCAAGCTTGCTTCTTTTGTTGCACATGAGCAATCCTCTGTATCTTGTCGCATCAACCTCTTTGGTCAGAAGGGCAGTTTTGAGCTTAGCCAGCAAATCTTGCTTGCAGAAAGCTCCGAGCTCCACCCTACTACGTCCGAATCTAATTGCTAAGGGGTCTCTTCTCATCAACGTCTTTGCTTGTCACGTGATCCAATCCGCTGGATCGATCGGTGACGCTTGAACATTGAGCACGTTCTGCGCCGCAAATAATAAGCGGGCAAATCTGCTCTCGTTGGCAGCTCTTCCAGCTGTGTGTATGCCAGTCAACTGCTACGAAGAATCAATTGGACGGTGTCTTCAAGCTTTCCGATGGGGATCTTCGCCCCTCCGCTTAATATACGTGGGTGATTGTCCCCCAGGGCATGGCCCCTAGCTAACCCAATACAAATGGAACGGAATCTTCGGAAAGAGATGAACTGGCAGGCACTGGCAATGATGAAGAGTTCATTTGGACATATGGGGCTTAGCCCAAAAGGTATACGTGATGAAGACGCCTGCTTATCCATCTTCGGCTAGTCGGACCGGACCCTGCATGCAAATATGGTTCGTCTACTTGGGGGCAATCTGGTTTAAGTCAGACCAACTTACGTACTGATTTGAGTCGTGTGGATTGGAAATTGAGGAACGAGATTTTTCCCATACTCGACTACTTTGAGAGTCTCTCCAGCTTTCGAAGGAACGAAGTATAGCGCGCAACTCTCTCTATATGCAATAACGCGCAACTGTGACAGGCGCGGCTCATAAAGCGTGCATCGGAATGTATGCAAATGGATAAGAGAGTGCCCAAAAGAATGTAATCCTAGTCCTCAGCTTCCAGACCCCCACGAAATCTCGCACCTCAGACTCTGCTTTCGAAATTGCAAGCTTTGAGTGCGTGAGTCACTCGCACTCCTTTTGAGTGAAACTAAGTTTGCAGAACATCTGGGTTGCATGCTGTGAAGTCGTACTCGTATCAGCTTCTTAACCGAGTGTCTTTGCTAAGGCAGTGATGAGCGTGCAGTCTGCGTCTCAACCCAGGCAGTCCTTCTCGGCGTTGACTTATACACGCATGATGTCATTTAGCAGTGATAAGTTCTCAACTTCCCCATGATATGCTATGCAAGAGTCTGAGCATAGTCTTTCGTATCAAGGTTCTGTAAGTGGATTAGATGTAGATATCTTGGTAAAACTACCGTCAGCCTACGAGTTATGTACGTTTTCTTATTATTGCTTATCCCGCCTACACTCCACATGCTGAGGTCCAACAAGAGTTCTCTTCAATAGCATGCACAGAGTATTTGTACAACGAGGCAATCTTACTTATCTTCCGGTCTTGGAGCTGACGCACTCACGTGATCCTAAGTTTTTCACTGACCCGAAATGAAGCTCTTAACTTACCCGTGAAGATTCGTCTGGGACGTTCTCATACAGTGTCTTATATGTCTGCGGCGCCTTTCAACATTCTGGATAACCCAGTTTTGCACCGCCCTAAACCTCTCCCTTTTGCGGTTTGGGAACGGTCCAAATGGTCATTAACTGGTCGCACGTGTGGTGCAGGCCGGAAACGTAGTCCAGGACCGGAATGTCGGTGTCGTCACTGCCGAACGGATCGGCCAGCGCATTCGCAAGCTCGCGGATCCCCAAAGTACAATAAACCGTCAGAAACATTGGGATGATGCTGTAGAAGTAGCTCGAAAACACCTGGCAATTGGATAAGGACACGTGTCAGCTTTTTGCTGACGTGGGGCTAGAAAATGGATCTGCCAAGAGCGTGTTCGCCAGTCGCGGATCCACAAAGTGCACAAAATCGTTAAAAAACTTTGGGATGATGCTGTAAAAGTAGCTCCAAAACACCTGCCATTGAAGGAAAGACACGTGTCAGATTTTGCGGTTGCACTGGCACTAGGGAAAGGGGGAGCTTGCGGGATCCACAGGGTGCAAAAGCCGTGAGAAAACAATGGGATGATGCTGTAAAAGTAGGTCGAAAACACCTGAACGAACGGAACAAAGACACGCGTTGGCAAGTACTTGCTGACGTGGCAGTAAAGAGATCTGCCAGCGGTCTCGCGAGCTCGCAAATTCCCAGCGTGCAGAAACCGTTGAAAGTTCTGGCACGATGCTGTAGAAGTAGCTCAAAGACACCTGAAACAAGAGAAAGGAGACACGTGCTAGCTTCTGATGACGTGGCGGCAAACGAGGATGGCCAGCGCGTTTGCGAGCTCGCGGACTCCTTTGTGCGAGAAACCGTCAGGAACATGAAAGTGATGCTGTAAAATGGGCTCGAAAAAAAACTTGCGCCAAAGGAACGAAAAACGTGTCCATTTGACACGTGTTTGAAGTTTTGAACGTGTTTAAAGTGTTGCTGACGTAGCAGCGAAGGGTCTGCCAGCGTGACGTTTGCGATCAAGCTTGCGGGTGCATATTAAACCGTTTGAAAGGCCAGCACGAGGTTGTCCAGGTAGTCCTGCCTTGGAAACAAGACACAATATACTGATTTTGTGCCGAGGCGTGCCAAAGCCTATCTTTAGTTAACCCGCATCGTGACGACCGAAGTTCGAACGCTGTCAGGTCCTTCTTAGCGCAGCTCGCGGGCGAATACTAAGGGCCACCGATCTTTGTCAGGAGAAAGCCGACTGCGAATGTGAACGCTAGCCGACACAAGGGTTGTATCTTCCAAGAAAGTTGATAGCTGGCAGCCTAAACCAGTTCTTTCGTAACTCCTGAGTGATGAAGATGAACGGCTTCCGGTTGTTTTCCAGGAGGGAAAGATCAGCTCCCGGGACAGTGGGATAGCGTGGACAAAATACCACAGAAAACGGCTGCCTCGTCCAGCTTCCGCTATTCTCGGTGGTTTGTCTTAGCGAGCTTCGCCTGTGTAGCTCAAGGTCTTTGTTCATTGTGCTGTTCCTGCATGTGATCCGCCTTGAAAACCATGCAGACGTTTTAAGCACGTTCATTGATTTGCATAAATCAAGACGGCCCCTTGAACCGGTACAGATACTTGGCCAAGGACGTTGTAGCAGCCTTTCGACTAAAACTATGAGATCGAACACCGTTCACCTCAGCAAAACAGGGGTCGACTTGTTCCTCCAAATATCAAGCAACATGGGAACCGAAAACCTACTTACATGAATAGCTTCTTTGCGGGCAATCTAATTCTGAGAAAGGAAAGGCTAACAATTCGTTGGAGCTACGTTTTGGCGCTAATGTGTTTCTGACTCGACCAACTTTATGGTCACACTTTATGGTCACACCGTTCAATCCAAGTTCACGTCTACTTTCTGGAAGGTTACTTTGAAAAAGCTTTTGTCTGATGCAGAAAGTTTCTGTTACGTACCTGAGTGTAGGACAAGATCATCAGAAAGCCCAGTGCCATGATGTTGAGCAAATGGTAGACTGCAAATGGTACCTGGCAAAAAGGACACGTCAGCAAGTTATCCTTGCCCCTTCGTTTAGCCGTTCCAACCCAATGAGATTCGAAGTGGCTACTTATCGGATCATGTTTCTGAGTCAAAGTAAACGGGCCTTGCTCGAACAGGGCAAGATCGTTTAACTACGTACAGGCTTCCTATTTAGCAGGCGGAATCCGACTGCTTCTGAAGTCGCTTCCAAGATCGCTTTCGCTTACGGATGCTGGTCAAAGTGATCAAAGGGCCTTTTGACACATTCGTCAATTTGTCTTGCTTCTCCGAGCAAGCAGCGCTTTTAAAGCGTACGTTATGTAAATCCTCAAAGGCTGTGGACGGCAGGCTCGGCTATATAAGACGCTTTTTCTCTTCTTCCAACGCTTACCGGCATGTCAGCATGCTCATACACTGTTGCGATCGCTGCCGAGAGCGCTCCAAAGAGCCCGTCGAGACGGTCCAGTGAGCGCTCCGAAATGTGCCCCAACTCGTGCTCTCGGTATAAGGCGTTTTCTCCAAGGCAGTATATCTGTCACCGGGAGAGATGGGTTATCTTTAACCAAGGCTGGTTAGCTTTTAGGTAGATGCTCCTTTCCTTAGAGTAACCGTCTGGTTAGCTGGTTCCTGAGTAAGGACGATAACGGATGACATCAGTTTTGATGAGAGTCGTCTCCAAAGAAAAGGACTCAGCTTTCTTTTCAAAAGAACTTGCTTCCTTATGTAAGCGGTGCAAAGAGGAAAAGAGACGAGCACCCAAAGGAGCTTGGCACTGCCTTCTTCGAAGGTGAATTTTCCACACAGTACATAACCTAGCTTTACTCAGCGTAAATCATTCACCGCCAGGTTTGTGAGGCCTGTGAGTTACATCAGCACCTAAGGGTATTCATGCCGGCCAAAACGACGTTACCATATTGCGGCCCAGCTCGATTTCCATTTGGACCGGTTTCAGTACGTCTCCGGACATTCCATGTGTTCGAACCGGATCCGAATGTTCAGACCCGCTTCGGACTTCTGGGCCAAGGGGTTTGGATCACGTGTTCGGCAAAACCTCGCGCTAGATTATTCAGATACTGCTTACCTCGCCGTACGGACGAGTGCCCCCGGGGAGTTCAAGGATCCGCTGTTCCTCTTCCGGTTTGAGGAGTCCGGTCTCGTGGAGGCGCTCCAAAGTCCATATGCAGGTTATTCTCAATATAATGGGGCAGCCAGCCGAAGCCCGTATACAGCATGGCCATGCAATAACCGTGCAGCTCCAAGCGGATTTGGCCGGACCCTTCGAACTTGTGGTCGTCGAAGAGTGAGCGGAGAGCGGTGTCGAACGCAAATGCGCAGTTTATGGCGCCGATGCAGGCTTTGTACTGCTCGAAAAACCTGCAAAACAAAGTGGGGGAAAACTAAAAGCTGAACGTCTGCACAACAGGTTGTCGAGCCTTATGAGGCTTTTCAGGATTCGTCGATATAGCAGCCGGCTCAAGCTGTCTCGTATCACGTACAAAGCGCAGTTGATGGCGTCGATGCAGGCTTTGTACTGCTCAAAGAATCTGCCATACAGAAAAGTTTTGTGAGTGTTTCCAAATCTAGGGTTCCCTTCAGAGAGATTGGAGAAGACCGCGTAATAAGCATTGAGGAACTGGCAGCCAGCTCAAGCTCTCTCCTTTCTTGACCGGTGAGTCTTATGGATAGGAAGCATTCCAGTTCAGATTTGTAGACAGACTTGGTTATCTTTAGGTGTCAAAGACTGGCTCTAATTGGTGAGTTAGCCATCATTTCAAACAGGGGGAAAAAGCTAGCCATGCTTCATTCTCATGTGCGCCCTCTGATGACGCTTTCAAGTCGTTCTTCAACTGGGAACTATGCCCAGGTTAAACTCCGCCCTACGCTCGTGAGAGACAGGTCAGATTCACAGGAGAGAGACTGTGAGAGTCTTCCTGCGGGGAGCTGTTATTGATGAGGCGTTTGTGACGAACTAGGTTTTGTAGGATCACTATAAGAACTTGGAAACCTCAAGAGAGACGTGGCTATATATCCCTATAAAAAGTTTTGTTAAGCTAGTGGGCTGTGAGTAAATACCAAAAGACAGCACTCAGGGGACAGAGTGAGAGTCATTTCTCACCTGTTGTAGCACTGCGTCATCTGGAAGACCAGGCAGAATGACGTCAGCACTCCAAGAAACCCCGCGTAAGTACCAGACCTCAGGAACGGCCACCCAGACTCGATGGAGGTCGAGTCTGAGCGCGTGTGGTTGTTCCCCACTTTGTAGTACATTGTCAGCAGGAAAATGTGGACGGACATGATCAGGTAGAAGGAGACCGACTGGAAGACCATCTTGGCGGCGGTTCCGGTTATGCGGAACAGCAGGCGAAGGGGGTGGGAGGCGTTATAGGTGACGGTGCCTGCCGGAATCTGCAAGACATGTATACGGCTTTCAGAGTTCAAGCCCTTCCGAGGGTCCAGGATTTCCAAGGAAATTCAGACAGACTTGGGCTGCTAAGTGAGCTAGTTTGCGTTGCAGAGAAATAACGCGCAACTCGTTGCCCACAGTTAGACGAGCACTTATGCTTTCTAACAGCCAATGATGGTTCACTCAAAATGGTTATATGGAAAGGTTTTTGGTGCCCTTTGCTTGCCCCTTCAAAAGTTGATCTCAAGTGCAGGACTCTCTAGAACAATCAGGCTCTGCCCAAGAAACTTGACACCTGGGAAAAGATTGCTCGTTATCCTCTGAACAAAATCGTGTTACCATCTCTTAGAGACTCAACGAGCCTCTTATAAAAGAAAGGGGACTGTATTTCACCAAGGGCAGGTCAAGAAAGTGTCAGGAAGCAGGGCTGACATGAGTTCGTGCATAGTTGCAATCAAGTGATTCCAAAGTAAGGACAGGTTTTGTTCCTCATCACACCTCAAGAAAGCTCAGTAATCTCCTTCAATTCCATACTTGGTTGTCTCACCAGCTTGGCACTTTTCAGAGTCCCCAGCGCATCGTTGTAAGGGTTCCCCTCCCTCGGCCCAAACAGGGGCGCATCCTTCAACATCGAGAACGAGCTGTAAACAGCCCTCTCCTTAATGCTCAGTCCTTCAGCTGGTATCTTTTCAATCTTAGAGTCAGTCCCCACTTTCTCCGGGTCCGCTGACCAGAAGTTCTTGCGTCCATTCTCCATCCTTTTTAAGGATTGAAGAGATTGGCTCAGGTGCAGAGTACCAGCCACTCTCAGAAATGCTTGTGCAGAGTGCCAGTGAGCTCTTGATTCTTTGTCAGCTTTGAAAGATTGAATCACAGAATTTTGGCTGGTTCAAAATAGAGTCTAGCTGCAAGTCCTTCTGGTAGGAAGAAATACCCGAACAAAGAGATATACTGCTCAGCTTCAAGGGTGGGATATCCCGGGGACGAATCTATACGATCGATGGAAGAAGGAAGCTGAGTACTTCCTTGCTACCTCGCCTTGCTTGACAAAAAGAGTGCACCCTCGACGTTAAAACGTCACCCCAGATAGTTTAGCCCTGATCAGCTCGGATCGTAGCATATGCTTTATCGGTCAGGGGTTAAACCGTGACTTGTCGTCTTCAAAATTAATGTGGCCCGTAAACGCTCCTTGGCGACTTGGGATTAAAGACTCCCGCCGTTAAGGTCGCTGCAATCTACGTCGGTTGCACTGAGCCTCCTTGCTTCTTTCTACGGGAATCTTGCCCGTGTTTTCGTACCTTAGAAACTCTGCACTACCGAGACCTTACCGGGACCCGATCCGAAATTAGGAGAACCAAGGGCGCCTCGGAACGGGGTTACTCCTCTAGCTGTAAAAAGTCAACGTCCCGCTGCGTTCGACGGTCCTAGCCTCCGATCCGAAGTCCATTAATCTCGAGTTGATTTCAACGTGACGTCCTTCTCGCGAGCGGGGCATGCTCAGTGCTATACGCAACATGCAAGCGGTCCTTGATCGCTCCGCCAGGGGTCCTTATTGGTCGGGCGGTCAATCCGCCGTCTTTTTCCACAGGAAGTCGAACCTTTTATGAGGGATCCGGACATAAAAATAATTCACCTTCGACCATATATAGAACGTGTATCAACTAGGTACTGGAGTCCCTCTGCATAAATTAATTCATGGCGCTCGTAGAGATCGCCGCCTCAGCTGGCGCTGGCCCCCCGAGCTAGATGTTCCAATCGATAATTGAGGCCCAGCTGTAGTACAGTACTGTAGTACCTAGGTACGTAGCTTGATTCGGAATCTAGGTAGTCTTCGGCCGAAATCTAGTGGCCACTCAGGCGGGCCGGCAGGTACAGCATGAAGCTCGACCGGCACAGTGACGTCAGAAGGGAGTCGTACACTCGCTTGTACACTCTTCAACTATTGGCTGGGCGTCCCCATTGCGCGTGGTGAAATGTACCGGTTGCAAAGTAACGCGGGCCCGGAGTTCACCGAATCACCTTTGAACTTTGGTTCCCCGGCGCCGGCTACCCTTCCAACCGGGTGAGTCGCAGTTTGTGTACATTGAAGCCTACAAGGCGGCGAGACCAGACCGGGCTTGTACTTCTGTGCCGTGCGTACATCGTACGCCGTGATTTATGTTGTCGGTACTTCGTATGGGTCCCATCTCATGATTGGACTGCGACTCAGCTGGTCGGAGTTCTATCGGGTACGTCATGATTTGTCATTGGTACAGTCTCGATACCAACCGGGTCACGGACAAGGCCTTTAAGGAATTTAATGCGACAAACGTACATACGGTGGCAGGTGCTTATCAGGCAGCCCCGGCCCCCGGGCCGACGAGCCGGGCCGCTCGACTACCGTACTGCACATTTAGCGGACCGGTCGGCGGTCATGCGTCGGTCAGTCCGCCGAGCACGGTGTCATCTTATACGAAAAGTTAAACAAATAGCGATTGGTAGATATTTAGCCGAAACTTTTAACTCACCCCGCGGCCCGTACGTACCGTTGGGCGGACTCCAAAACCGAGACTCCGCGCTGACTTCGAAGATCCAATCGGATCGACGGGCCGAAAACTAGACCTCACCTCCTGGCAGTGGACACATCGACTCAAAACGGGGACCATCAGCTCTGAGCATCGCTAAATATGAACCATAGAATTATATGGTGTCAGAGCCTCAGTCAAAGTTCAGCCGCTTTCGTTTTGAGCACTGTCGTTCTCGATCGACTACGGCATCTTTAAATTAAACACAAGCGTGTTCCATGTCCCTCCATGTCGGCCCTCCATATATACTGTCCCTGTCAGATTCAACTCCGCCAATGATGGCCGTGACGTGACATGCGAACCTGTGCAAGCACATGACTGAGGGATGCACATGAGCGATCGTAAGGAATCAGGATGCTGACGTCCACTGATTGCATTGAAGGCGGAGTTTCCAGTTGCGACTTGCAACTATGTGAATTAATTTGGTGATTTTCAACGAAGGAGTCGGAAAGGACTCGGCCTCCAAACTCGATTCCGGAGCTGGCAGCACACCGTGTACACTTCAGAGCTACCTAGATATAGGTTTATAACCTTTTGTGAAACCCTATAATGACCCCATATTAATTTGCCCGTATGGAGGTCGCTTTGCTGGTTTCATCGTGAATTCATTGATCGAAGCTTCCAGTCACGTTGGCGCGCTTTAACACTCTGCTTAGGCGCAGGAATCTGTTGTTCCTGAGTTGGAGAGTTGCAGAAATCACTCCCAGAGCTTTTGCAGCTCGCCGATGTCCCGTCTATCTGGGAAGAGCAGTCCAAAGAATCAGTGGTGTGCTTTCGGGATTCCAACAGAACGCGTTAATGTTGGCTGCATAACGCGGAGCCACCAAGTGAAGAGGCACAACTGTCTGTGTATTCTTCCAGCTTTCTAACCCGCTCCTTGTGTCCTTTCAAGGGTAGAAGTGGAAGCAGGAAAGATGGAAGCGGCGGGTTCCAGCATTGCTGAAAGAATCAAATTCTACCCCTTAAGCCTACTCATACCTTCTGCGGTACTCTTCGCACTTCTCGTTCCCTTCCTATGGACGACTTTGCACCACTATCTGAAGGTCATGAGAACTCGGGGGATCCCTCCAGGCCCAATGCCTTGGCCCGTCTTCATCTTCTGGTGCAACGCGCCCTCGTCTACCACGCGCTCGGAAGAATGGTGCTTCCGAATGGAAAGATAAAGCTGCCTATTTCACACATTGACGTTTGCAGCCCGATGATCTGGCTTTCTTGTTCTGGATACAGCCTGCAAAGCATGCTTGCTGTATGTCAAGAAAATGTGTCCTCTTGAAATCGAGGCTATGCTTAGCTGGCGGAGATCTAGATCCGCAACTAAGGGCTAAGATGTAGGTTCTGAGCTCGGGGCACTGTTGTTCATGAGTAGCATCTTCAGCAATCAAATAACTCATACCTCAAAAGACTCCTGTTGACTTAAGCTCAAGGCAGCTGAAAATCATGTGAGTTTGATACAGGAATGAAATATTCCAATCCCACGCAGACTGGTCTAGTTGACCATCCCCCAGTGATGCATTATTGAAGCAATCGGGTGGAGGATTATGAGCTGCCCTTTCCTTGAAATCCACATCCCCCTTCTAAGTCTATCACGCCAATCCGTTTCTCATGCCGGCTGTACAGAAACTCCTTCAGCTTCTGGCAAGAGTCGCATTCAATTGTCTCTGGAGTTGCTTTTTAGGTTGGTCGCTGTCAATCTTCCACAGTTTTTCCCGAAAACAATTCTATCTCTTTAATCAGCTAAGCTTTCCGTGTTCAGGCCAAGCGGTACGGAAGCGTTTTCAGCTTCTGGTTAGGGCCGCAACTGGCGGTCTACGTCAGCTCGTATGAGGCCATAAAAGAAGTTCTGGTAACCAAGGTGAGGGTCTACTAAAAACAGCTAATTTTAGAGATTACACAACATTGCAACCCTGGTCCCAGACAAGACGTGTTTTATCAATCAAGCAGTTAGGTCAATTCCTTCAGAAGCGATGTACTCTCTTAGATCGACTTTGGTCGACTTGTCTATATAACTGCAAAACCCTGCTACTTATCACAGCTCTAGAAGCGGTGGCGCATTGCTGTCCAACTAGAAACAGTAATCTTCTGTGCCCTTTGTTATGCAATACCTGGAGAAATTGCCCATGTGAAGTCACTGACGTCAGAAACTTATGGCAGAATGAAAGGGCCGGCTTCTGAATATGAGCGACTCATTCAACCCGAGACCAATTTTGTAGTCTTTGAGCTGAAAATTTCTATTGTTTCAACATGGGACTCGATCATTGTAGGTGGACTAATACCCTACCCCCAAGTGTGTCTATGTGGAGATTGTGTGCTAGATAATAGATAAATTCTATAAGCAATCCTATATGTGGTTATAATCTTTGAGCTGAAAGACTCTCGTTACGGACCGGAAGCACATCATCTCGGTGGAAAGGCACCGTGACTCCAAAAGCTGTCCTGATTTTATGCTAGATGAGAACAGACTCGATCAATCATCCTTTTATGGATCGGACAGATGACTCGGCTGTGTGCGTAACTTGTAGGAAACTGATCGAAAGTCCCATTTCCCTGAAACTCCCAGCACAAGGAATTTGCGTCGCGACCGCCTTTGCCCGAGCGCATCTCGCTCACGCTCCATCCGAAGAGCATCTTCGCGTCAGGCTACGGCGACTATTGGCGGATTTAAGTTGAGGCTCATTAGGTTTCACGTCGACCAGACACTGCTTTTGTTCCGAGCCTTCTGTTCCGATCCATGTAACGTGCTGGGTGTACAATTTCTCCAGTCCGCGTTTGGATTCGACACACCTTAACCTTCTACATAGCAGTGCGACGACAAACCAGGCAGCGTGACTCTAGAGTGCTAATAGGACTACATTCGACCGGTTCCTGGGCACGTTAACAATACTGGGCTACCTTTTTAAGCTTGCGTAACCGGCATGTTGCTCCGCTGGTTCCCTCACGCATTGCTCAAAGGAAGCTGAAACGTTTTTGCCTTCGCTTTTGGAACCTATGACTTTCGGGGGAAGCGAAGTCTTTGATGAGATTGCCTTTCAATCTGCCGCAGCTCTCTTGCAAGCTGGCTTCTGCAACTAGGGTGGCAGGCACCTCAGATCATGTACGCAAAAGGGACGCGGGCGCGCTTACGGGCTTTCATATAAGCCAACTTACCAAAAATTACATCCGACGTTCTCGGTCACCGCGGTTTCCACTGCACGTGGCTTGATCCCAGGTGGTTGATTTTCTGTAAACAGAATCAAAGAAGTCCTCCAATCGGACTATATAGATGCTAACGCACACGTCTTTACGGAAAGAACTTTGCACGTGGGCACCTTTACATTCAAACAATCAACACGTCTTTTGTCTTGTTACCGCAGGACCCGAAGACTGGCAATCCTCCACCTCCTTTCCACAAAGGCAGTGAAGGCCAGCGTTTCGATCCGGTTCGAAGAAACTGAGCTGCTCATCGAGCATCTCAAGCGGGAGAGCGAGAAGAACGGGGGCATCATCGAGCCGAGAGATCGTATTTTCCGGTGAGCTTCGAAAAACGTACGAGGGTGGAAAGATGTCGATGAGAAGAAAGAACTGCGCATGCAACGCTGCTGTGCTCACTATGACTTCGTCACTCATCCGAGCGCTAAGGGGCTGTCGTGAGAGGTCCAATGATGGGCGTGGGGACGAGACCTCTGTTTGGCATTTCCGCTCCAGCGCACTATGGGTGTTGTCCAACTGGAATGCTGAAACATACTACCTTTCGACAGAAGACTCAAAAGCGGCTTCAGAAAGATTCAGATTCTTGCCTTTTGTTGTCGAATCTTGGTCGAGACATTCCCCCTCTTGCGCATTTCGCCCACTTGACCAACGCTCTTTGCCACAAGAAGACTTCTCTGACTTTCGTGGGGCGCTGTTTTCAATCACGAACCTCAGCTCGAGTCCCGTCAAACCTCGGGCTAAAAGGTGGTTTCTGCTGATTTCAATATCAGGGCTAACCTGAGGACTACGATGCGGCTGCTCCATCAAGTCAATTTCCGGGCGCGCGACAAGCTGCCAGCTGGCTACACCATAGACGCGAAAAAAGAAAGCTGGAAGTTCATACTTGTAATTTACTCTAATACTAGTATTAGAGTACTGAAGGTGCCCATCCGATTCTCGCTGACGTCAGCATCTCCTTTGCAGAGCCAACCTAAACAATATGATGCAGCCGATGTTTGACGTCCCGTTTCCCGCGTGCGACAAGCCTGGCTACCCGAGACGCGAAGCAACAGTCGAGCTTCAATACCGTAAAGCTAGGAATGACAAATGGTCTCCTGCTGACGTCATGATCTGGTTATGCGCAGGGCCAGCCTGAACACCATGATGCGGCCGCTGTTCGGCGTCCGGTTCCAGGCAACGAGCCGGGCTTCACCGAAGCGCGCGAGGCGCAACACAGGTTGAGAAACAGCGGACGCAGATCGCAGCGATTTGCGCTGACGTCAGCACTTTTATTGCAGGGCGAACCTCAACACCATGATGCAGCGGCCACTCTTCAGCGTCCTGTTCTCGCGCGCGCCGAGCCCGATTTCATCGGAGTGCGCAATTCGCTACGACCGTGAACGCAGACTTCATTTTCAACAACATCACGTCCCAGGACATAGATAACGATTAACCACCTCTGACGTCACCATCTTTTCACGTGCAGGGCGAATCTCAACACCATGCTGCGGCCGCTGTTCGGCGTCCGCTTTCCCGCGTACGACGAGCCTGGCTTTACCGAAGCGCGCGAGGCGCAACCAAGGCAAATTCGATTCTCAAATTAAACCTTCAAGTCCCAGGCAAAAAAGATTGCTGACGTCACGATTTCGTCGCGCCTAGGGCCAACCTGAACACCATGATGCGGCCGCTCTTCAGCGTCCGGTTCCCGGCGCCTGACGAGCCGGGCTTCACCGACGCGCGCGAGGCGCAATATAGATAGACGAAACCTCAGGCTACAATCCAAATAATGTTTGCTGACGTCACCGGCTCGTCACGTCCAGGGCCAACCTGAACACCATGATGCGTCCGCTGTTCGGCGTCCGCTTTCCCGCGCGCGACGAGCCGGGCTTCACCGACGCGCGCGAGGCGCTGTACCAGAGCCTGCAGCGGAGCTTTCGTCAGATGGGAGATTTCGACTGGGGCACCATTCTACCGGTCCTGAGCGTTTTCGCGAACCGGGATGTGAGAAAGACAACTTCTTTCAGGGACGGGTAAGCGACGGCAAGATAGATTTCTGGTCCTTTTCGACGTATTCATGGGCGGACCCGAGTAAGAGCTTTATTCAGTTGGGCAATTCCTACTGGGGCACTCGTTCCGGATTGCAATGTGCGAAAGAAGATCTCGTTCAGGGACGGGTATATTGTCGAACACCTTTTTTATTGAGTGCCCTTTTTGAGCGGACATCTCGCCTTTGGATACGGTCATCTTTCAGTCCCTTTTTAGTAAGATCTTCCGTCATATGGGCATCTTCGACCGGAACACTGTTCTATCACCCGAGCGTTTGCGTGAACCGGATTGTGAGAAAAGCGACAGCTTTTATGAACGCGAAGGAATTACTGGTCAGGTGCAGCTTTTCTACTCGACCTGAACCGTAAAGCGTGGCTTTGGACCGCCAGTAATCTTTTACGTTCGCATGTAACCTCCGATGATGGCAAGGCAAACGTAGGCAAAGGATGGGTGTAGACAGCCAGAATCCCTCTTTTTGTCTGGTCTCCTTAAATGAAATTAGAATCTGAGATGTGGGAAGCAGTGCGTTCAAATCGAAGCCCGTGTAAGAACATTCAGCGTAAGAGAAGGAGTCGCGATGAGCTTATTCGCTTGCAACTTTACTTTCTGAACGCAACGGCTACCAACCACACATGTTATGTCAAGAAATATTGGCGCTCGTCCAACGCAGGGCCACGTACGCAAAGGCAAGCTACGGAAGTGGTTGTACGCGAACCGCATCCAACGGACATGTGAAGAATTTATGAGGTCTTTCAGCTCTGAAACGTGACCCCTTTGCAGGGAACTCTTGGCGCTCATCGAGGAGCACCGGAGCGCGCGCGCAAAGGCGGGGACGGATTTCGTCGCGCGCGACCTGGTGGACACTTTGCTCGAGATCCAGGAGAAGGAAGAACTCGAGAACAATGACATCATCGCAATCTTGGTGGACTTTCTCAACGCATGTGAGCTCGCGCAAAGCCTCTCCGCTCTCTCACGCGACTGCGTGCTGTGGCAAAGCGCCCGGTTGGATTGCTAGCTGATGGACAAGAGAAAACTGTATGGGCGTATCAGACTCCTTCTGGATAAGATTCTGATCGGCTGGATAGAAAGGTTGTCGGCTTGAAAGGAAACAATTAGCGTGCGGCTCCTGGACTGTCTTCCAATCTTCCTTTCATCAATTGGGTCCGACGGGTGAATCTACCGTATCTCCAATCCCCCTTCTCGCTGTTTTGAGACGTAACGTTTTGGTCAACTGCCAGGACCGGAAACCGAGCTGCAAAATTGCTTGCTTCGTTTATCTGCATCCTTCTCGTGCGTTCACCGTTTGGCACGAGCACGTTTCTCCTCAGCTTGCCGGGCAACGAAAATGTTCTAACATCCGGAGTTTAACGGCGCTCTGACTTAAGCCGCCTTCTCACGCAAGAGACGGGGATCTAGAAAACATCAGAAAGAAACGAACGCCATTGCTAGTCGTATGCATGTCCCTTCAACATACTTAAAATAAGCTCTAGGTATAGTGAGCTCCTACCCTAACACTAAAATACCTAACCCTCAAAAATTCCCGCTCCACACCCGTACCCACCCTATATCCCCAAACTAACCCCACCCGTCCCAGGCTGGTTAGGTTACTACACCTGAAACTTACTTTACCAAAATCGAAGTCTTACATTGTATGCGGCGGTGGACACGAGCGGCGTCTCCATCGAATGGACGCTCGCGGAGCTCACGCGGCGCCCCGCGATGCGGCGGCGAGTGCAAGAAGAAATTGACGCGGTAGTAGGGCGCGGCCGGCCGGTGGGCGAAGACGACCTGCAGAATCTGCCGTACTTCTTGGCAGGTGAGTTTGACACTATGATCTTTGGACGGTTAATTTGCTGTCCTATTTGGTGTCGATCAAAGCTCGCGAGCTCACGCGGCGCCCCGCAATGCGGCGGCGAGTGCAAGCGCAGATCGACGCAGTCGTCGGGCGCGATCGGCCGGTGCAAGAGGAAGATCTAGAGAGTTTGCAGTCTTTGCTGGCGGGTAAGATTTAACACAGCGCTTCATAAGGGCTCTAGAATATTCTTTGGTGTCTGTTTTTTTCAAGGGCGGATTGGATTTGAAGAGAGGCACGGCGCTTGGCCGCGGCTGGCCGGTGGGGGAAGAAGACCTGCAGGACCTGCCGTACTTGCTGGCAAGTATGAATCTGACGCAATGTTCTAGGATGGCTCTGGATGGTCCTTGGTGTCAATCGAGAAGGGCGGTTTCAGGGGGCGCGGACGTTCACCGCGGCCGCCCGGTGCGCGTAAACGAGCTGGAGGATCTGCCGCACTTTGCGGCAGGTAAGTTTTGACACAGTGCTCTGGAATTTTTTGTAATAGTCTTGGTGTCTTTTGGAAAAGGATGGTTTGGATTCTAAGGCGGGTGCAGCGTTTGGCCGCGGCGTCCCGGTGCAAAAGGAGGTCCTGGATAATCTGACGTTCTTTTCGGCAGGTCAAGTTTGACACGATCTCTGAAGTGGCTCGATGACAGTGTTCGATGTTGAAGCGAAAAGGGCGCTGTGAGATTATGAGGGGAACGCTGCCGTCGTCACATCCAGCTGGTGCAAAAGTAAGATCTGAACCGTCTTATGAGGGGGAAGCGGTGCGTGGAGACGACCCGGGGAAGCTGCTCTACTCCTTGAGAGTACTAAGGAGAGGTACAGCCGACCATAAGACGCGCGGCGGGTGAGCACGAAGCCGTTTCAATATGGAAAGAAGGGGATTTCAGAACGTCCTCCCCTGGAACCCGTTCTTCCTTTCGAGCTTCACACAGAACTATCAAAAGAGGTATTGTTATGATTGAATGGTGGTTGCAATATTTGCTAAGAAGCTGCTTTCCACTTTGAGAAGCTTATACAAGCCGCTCGATGCTTCGCGCAGTGATCAAGGAGCACTTCCGCTACCGGAGCATCGGCCCATTTTTGGGGCCCCACATGAACGACCGCGAGACGACCATATCGGGTTACAGGATCCCGGCGCAGACTCTGGTGGGTTATTTCTCTTGGACATTAAGGCATGACAGATTTCATGCAAGAGTCTGCAACTGTGAAACTTTGTTCTCATATGAGCTGTTCTAGTACGCATGAGGCGCAGGAGAACCCGTGCCAAAGTGCTCACTCGCTCCGATTGATTTGCTTTCGGCGCTCAGAGCAGGTTCGATAACATGGGCGAAGTAGCTTTTGGCAGCTAGAAATTTCACTTGAGTCAGGCCCTTCGTGCGGGAACCTTATAAGATGCTCCCACCTTGCGTTCTTGTTTCTCTTGACGTGAAATCTGCAATCAAACGCTCGACATCCAATCCCCTAGCATAAAACCAGTTGACAGATCAGCAAAGTGTATGCAGACCGACGTATACAGACCGTATGCAAATCGTGGCACTTACTTGGGCTTTATCTGGAAGTCCGTCCTTCTTTCTCTACGCGTCGATTTCCCCGGAACCATCGGAGCGAGTTACCGTCTGGACTCAGCAAAGCGAACGCTCCCCAGCCGCTTGAGTATAGCGCGGAAACTTGTAAAAGATTAAAGTCTGCGAAGACATATATACGCGGTGTGCAGATTGGAGCGCCTACCCGGGGCCTGCCTCGATACCCGACCTTATTCCCGAAGGACGAGTTCCTGCCGAGCCCTTTCTAAGATGAAGGCGACTCATTCGTATCAAACCCATCAATGAACGAGTAAGCTGATCCGATAAAAGAGCCTGCATACGTGTGCAGATTGTGGCCCATACTTGGGGCCTGCCTCGATATCCGGCCGTCTTTTCTCAGGCGCAGCAGTTTCCCGCCCGAGCGAGCGCTTACTGGTGGGAAGGTTGAACTGACTCATTCACGTTCGTATAATGAAAAACAAGTCAGCAGATCGACAAAAACTTTGCGTACGTTTGCAGATTGTGGCGCATACCCGGGGCCTGTCTCGAGACTCGACCGTCTTCGAACGGGCGGAAGAGTTTCTGCCGGAGCGCTTCCTAACCGAGGACATCGACATAACCGGGAAGGACATCCGGGTGGCGCCCTTTGGCGCGGGTGAGACTCGCATCCGCAGAGCGGCTTATCATTCTGCTCTGCATAAAGATCTGGGTTCTTACGAACGTACATACGAATGAAAGGCTGAGTTGACATTTGGATGAGCGACTTGGAGTAAGTTTGCTACCGATTAGGGGCAAGGAGGCGCTGTGAATGAACTCAGGGTCGAACTTGTACATCCGTCCTGTTTGAACACGGGACCTCTTCCGATTCGTGAAGTGCTCGATCGATCGACTCAGAAAGGGAGAGTCTAGATTCTGTATTGTAGAGAGCTGCAGAAAATGTGGCTTTCGCGCATGTCGGTGGCCGAGAGCAGCTCTTATTCTCCAACGCGGCCCGTGAAATCCTGAAACCAGGCGCGCCCGCTGGCTTTCTCTTATTCTGAAGCCATCATCATCTAACAACGAAAAGAGAACTGGCAGAAAAGGGCTCCCCGATTTGAGACCGCGCTTGAGGTACTTTCTATCTCCGACTCAACGAGACCTAGGACCATTCGAGCGGTTCTCAACTGGCTGCTTTTTTTACCACACGGTTTCTCACCGCACCCAGAAACCTGCTTATTGCGCAGCGGCGTCAAAGAGGATATCCGTTCTCCAACAGCCGCATATCACAACGAAGCAAGTCTGTATTCCGACGGCCCCGTCAACATCAAGAAATGCTTCGTTCTCTCAAATGCAGAAGCCTAAAACGAGCGGTCTTGTGTTGCAGGTCGACGAGGCTGCCCCGGCATCCTTCAAGGCTTGACGGTGGTGCAACTAGCGGTGGCTCGGATCGCCCAGAGTGAGAGCGCCGTACTCAAACCAACTTTCCCTGATTCTTGTCGCGCTTTTGGGTCCCAACTTTCCTCCTGAACACGATCCTTTAGAATCGAGACTCCCTCTATGTAATGAATCTTGTAACTCTCGGGGCTGTTTCTCTGCTGGCGCTTTGGACTCACTTTTGTGCACTTTCAGGTGATTCGGTTCTGATCGTGGTACCACTGAAATCGCCCCGTTCCTTCCACTTCCTTGCTTCGCCGTATCTTGTGGGTCTGCGCTCTTTGTTTTTAGAATCGTCGGCCACTTGGATGTGGCAGAAGTGCTTCTCCTCCTTGACATACTCGTATACTGGTAGTGTTGCCTTTGAAAAAGATCCGTGAGCTTATTATGCCAGCGCGCCGAGTTAACATTAGGCTATCGACTTTGTCTCGAGAATCAAGCACGCTCAATAGATTTACCAGGCCACGTGGAGACGAATCTCGACTCCCCTCCGCAAAGAACTTTCCAAAGGAAAAGGGCTGTTACAGCTAGCTTCTCATTGTCCCGTGTACCGTTGAAACTCATACTATAAGGCCAGAACCTCCCTTAGCGCTCGAATTTATACGCTGCTTCGACTGCGCGTCAATATGATCCAGCACATCGAAATTCGTCTTCACAGCGTTTGACTTCGAGCTGATCGACGGCGAAGACATCGACATGACGGAGCGGGACTGGGGGCTGCAAGTGTCGCTTCGCACGCCGCTCAAGGCGCGCTTCACGGTCCGGCGGCAAGAGCACGAAAATACCGATCCGGCAAGGCAACACATGGAGTAGTAATGATTGATGTAAAGTCCTTATGTGGGCCGTCACGGTTTAGAGTCAACGCGCGCGTGAAGGTCCTACAGTAGTCACGAATGACCGCAAGGCTGAGTACATATTAATACATTCATTGATTAAATCAAGAGCAGCAGGCTTATATAAGCTTGTTGATAAAAACCACAAATCGAACGGCCGCTCAACTTGGCAACCTGTAACTTCAAGTTAAGGAGGCTTATTTATGATCCAGAGGAGATGTCCTTAGTAGAGCCCTCGTAGAGCCCGGCCCATGAGTGCACAACGGCTGGGCGCGTCTGTACGATCGGTAACAAGCATGTTCGCGGCGCATGACTTCACGTCCTGAAGTTGTAAAGTTGAAAAGTTGCATACGTGCATTTCATTATCAGGTGAGTTTGTCCAATTTGTTGCGTCGGACCAATCAGACTGTATGCAAAGATTGTACTTTCAAACCTTGAAATGGGTGACCGTGCATGCTTATAGCTGGCCAGCGCTTGGATCGCAGTAAGAATTTTTGAGACGGCCGGATATATACATTGTGCAGATTGGGCATGCCGCGCAGATCAGGCATTGAGTATCTCCATGCAGCATAGCATACATTCTATCATTGTTATCGCCGAACAACCACCGTGTCACAACATCGCAACCGTGCCGGCAGTACGTAGCAAGCATTTGAATCATGTTCTATCGATACAACAACAACAATTCAATAGCCTAGGCAAGAAGATGATATTGAATATTTGTTTTCATTATTTTTAGCTGAATCATTGTTCGTTTGGATATTGAATGATGGCCCCTCTGATCGAGGCTAGGCCGGGGCGGAGCCGCATATGCCAGCCCGCCGTGTGCATAGTGGTTAATAATAGCGCCGCGCGGCCGGCCCGGCCGCCTTAGTAAATTACAAAACTCAATTGAATCATGCTTTCATTGAGTTCGACCTACTAGTTTTGCCCGGATTGACGGATTTGACGGCCCGGATTACATGATCATGACAGTTTTGCCTGGAAATGATTGACGGTCCATTCGGGCAATCGTATACGGTAGTATGCAGTGCAATGTAAGTTAAATTGAATCATGAACATCTCATGATCATGCAAGTTGGCATTGAAAGAGGCCGCCTTCTAATGATATAGGCTTCAGCTAAAACAATGGCATTGCAAGCATTAAGTTGAAATGTCTTTCGGTATGCCGACCTGAACTCGAAATACCAATGGAGCGCCGGGCGCGCGCGTGAGCGCATATGCGTCATGGTCGGTGTCATCTCGTGAGCAACTTTCGCGAAGGAATCCAACACACAACAACCGGTAATTGGGGCCGCCTCTCTTAACGATAGGCAGTGCATAGTATGTTGCTCATAAACCTAATATCACGTTCCGATCATTACCAAATTCTTGTTCCGATCGCTGCCTTGCCAAATAAACGAGTCTGCCAGTCGAGCGGCCAGCAGTGGCGGGAATACATTATAGTACACACGATTTTCGATCCATCTATACGAACTTACTACAAAGCAAGGTGACAGTGAAAAGCATTGCCAACCGGGTCAACTTGATTCCCGACCCCGCATCGCTGCCCCGAGTGCCCTAGCTTCCTGCTTTTTCCACGGTTGCAGCCGCCTCCGCCCTTTCCGTTCACCAATTGCAATGTCAATCTGCTTCGCCTCATTTCTAAACCCCGCTTTTCTGACGCTCATGCCCCAAAAGTTTACCACTGAGCGCTTGATCCGGTACCCCTCTTCGACGGTCTGCCGAACCATGTCAACTACCTTCTGCGGCCGCCCATCCCTCATGTACATTTCAAAAAGGCTGATTCATATAGGAAAGACGCTTATCAGACCTGAGCGCAACGTCCAAGTTGATAAGATCCAATCTTAGCCTCGTGCATCCATCAATTGAAAAGTTTCAAAAGTTTCAAGGTTGGGATTCCGTTTTGCTGAATTGAGGACAACTTTTACCTTGGTGGAGTAACCTTGTGCTTAAGAATTGTTTGGGCTGAATCACCAACACAGAGACGTTCGACTTGCTTTTGCCTGATGTTATAGTTCCCCGCTCAAAATTGCGGGACCTCGAAGGAGGTCGAGCAGAGGGGGATTCTAAGCGGCTCGTTGAGTACATTGGGGTCAATGTGGAGGCTAAAGAGGAATCCTGGCAGCAGACAAGGTGAAAGCAGACAAGTCTTGGAGAGAGCACCACGAAAATGGCCAAAATCGGGCAAGAAGAAAGCAAAGAAGGCAGAAGCAAAGCCGCAAAGACATGCGAAGGCGATACAATGGGATAAAGAGTTGGCTTGACCAGAATTAGGGCAGCAAAGCTCACAGCTTTGAGAGACAAAGACTACATTTTCAAACGAAAAGAAAGGGGAGAGACAGGAGAATAGCAAGCACACAACCGGAAAGGTGGTCAAATCCTAATATGAACCGACACTTGGCAACCCATTAGACGCCCACCTCGTAAAGACGCCGTCCCCAAGTTCTTCAAGCCTATTCCGGCTGTCGCGGCGGATCCTGTAATAGTCCTCGAGCACCTCTTCGGCGTTCGCAATTCGATCGGCCGCCGTCAGCTCATACAACATGTACCGCATCACGGTGGTGTCAAAGTTGCCGTCGAACCCCTTGCCAAGCTGGTATGCCTGCGCAGACCTCGAAAAAGGGTGTCAAGCGATGTAAAGCGTAGAAGCGCTACATCTGACGTGGCCGTTCACCCGTTTTGTGTAGGGTGAAGTCCTGTGAGCTTTGATGGAGTCATGTCAAACAAGGGTTTTTGACAAGAGGTCTGTTCAAGCCGGAACGCTTTGAAGCACTTTCTTCATTGCCCATCAAAGATATATTATACGACTGTAGGCCGGGCTGAAAATTATTTGGTTGACGCCTTTTCAACGAGGTTTCAGAATGCAGGTGGTTGGCCAGAACTTTGCAAGAAGAAGCCCGTTTATGTAAATAGATAGTTTGGGAGGGGTTATGTACTGAGCTATCAACCAAGCTATAGCACCTCTGACGGCCTGCTCTCCTAATGTCTAGTTACTTGATCACTCGATTGGAATTTTGCATTGCATCTAGCTGTTGGTATAATATCTTTTGAGACGACGTCAAATGAGCAAAGGGAGTCCCTCTGTATTAAAGGCTAGAGCAGGACACGTGAAAAAAGGCCACTGTTCACAAATGCACATTCAGAAGTCCCGTGAAGCCAGCAGAATGTCACCTCTGACATTCCCTTGTCATGAAGTATGCTTCTAGCATTTTAAGCCTTGAGGGAGCAACATAAAGGCAAGGAAAATGACAAATAGCGGGGAGAAGAGCCCAACTTAGATGAGTGCTCACCTCCCACATTTTGTCCGTCTGCTTGATCGGAAAGTAGCAATGCAAGATGAGTGCCGCTTGTACGGGAAGGCTCGCTCGGTGCGGCCCCTCTAACTTTAACAGCAACTCGTACGACTTGACTCCACCCAGACAGTCCGTATGCTTCTGACTTATCTTAGATTCAAGCGCCACATCCAGCCTTACGCCATGCTTTTCAAACTGGAGGTCTGCGAGTCTCTGTGCCTCTGTCTCAAAACCGGCCTCTATCAAAGACGCAAGGGTTAGCACAACGCTGTTGTTATCAAAGATGGGTTGGTCAACTTGGATAAGCTCACTAGCAATAACTCCAACCTCGTCTTTCCTTGCAAGAAATGTGAGTGCGGAGACCAGGCGGTGTAGTATATGACTGGGGTGCTTGTAGACCAGGCTTCCAATCTGTGCCACAGTAATTCCTGCTTCAAGGAGTGCCACATAACCAGTGCTGTACAGCCCCCACCCCGTGACTTCCACCATACCTTTGTAAAATGCCCAGATTTCCTCTGCAGAAGCGTGCTTTGCGCACATTGCTCGCACTAAGATGTCATTCACTCTCCAACAAGCATTGATTGGTTCTGGATTGCCTCCAGATGCACCGCAAGGACGGTGTCATACATTCCGAGTCTTAAAAAGGCCGAGCACATATCTAGAACAAAGAAATTGTCTTGTGTTGCTGGCACCTTGTAGGTCTTCCAAACTGCTTCCAGCTCATTGTGCAGGCCCCCCCTTTGGAGCGCCCTAACAAGCGGTCTCAGCAACAAGAGCTGCGGCGTCTTAGGGTGTTTGCCCTGCCACCAATCAAAAAGGTTCAGGGCCCGCTTTGCATCTTCAGAGCTGCACTCTAGAAGCTCGAAAATACGTGGCTTGGGTGTGAATAAACCGGTGGCAATCCCCACTGCCCCTTCTGCCTCCTCTGCTAAATGGGTGTAAACAAACGAAGAATTTACTCCACCACTTGCAACCAGATTGAGAACCGCCTGGACAAGCTTTGCATCAATTGGCATGCCTGCTATCCGCCCATCCTTTAGTTTGTCACTGAGATCCACATCAACTGGCCAACCCTTGACTTGCAGGTAGAATTCCTCCGTAACACCCGCCCAAAAAAAGCCACTTTCTTTTGGCTTCCGTAACTCACGATCAGCTAGTGCCCCTTTTCTGACCTCCCACCTTATAGGTTGGCCGAGCCTTTGCCCTGCAGATCCATTGGCGTCTCGTACTCCATGCTCTACTGCAGCAGAGGCGAATGTGTGCAGATGCACATGAGCAGAGACTGCGCATGCAGGCAGCAGGATGCTCGTACAGGCTGGAATTTGCCCTGATCCCAATGGGTCGCCTTTGCCCAATTGCCTGAACCTGTCAATACTGCTTCCAACCCCTTCAAGCCCGCAGTCATGGGCTCTGTCAAAGAATGTAAGTCCAACGGGGCAAGCTGCGACTCGCCTACCCACCCAGCTCAGGCAGCGGCCGATGATAGTCAGCGCCATCTTTGACTTGTGCGGCTTTGCTCCACTCTGCACATATCAAGGAACTGAACCTGATCAGGGACTCTCACTCAGAGTCATACATAGCCTGAACAGGTTGTTTCTAAACCAATGTCTGGACCGATGGTAGAGATTGCATATCAGCATGTAAGAGACTTGAGGCCACTACATGCATGTGTTGCGTTCCAACAGCTTGGGGTCAACCAGGAATTCTGGCTGCGGCGTGTGAAATGTTGACTGACACAGACTGATCTATCGTGCAGCCGGGGGTTCAAGGCGAGGCTGGATTGTTAGATTGACTCCAGCCAGCTGGAAGCAATACACACGTCTATCGATGAATTGAGGCCCTATTTGGTTAGGCCAGCAAGCACAAACAGGTGTCAAGGCATGTGTCTCTGTCCCTCCCATATTGACCCAGAAGTCGCAGCCCCCAAAACCGTTTTGTGACAGTGTCTTGATTAAAGCAGCTTGTACATACTCTGAGCTGGGGAAAAGGTGAGGGACAGGCCAACAGAAAGATTCTCTGAGCTTCAAGTACCTGGAGCCTGAATGTTTCTATTGACGTCCACAAATCAACAAATGCGTTCCAAATGCTAATCAAGAAACTGAGGAACAGAAACCAGCCCTCAAATGTAGAGAAGGGAAGGCAAAACCATAAAATCAAGAGGCAATTTATGTTCATTATGTGTAAGCTGGTCTGCTTACCTGGCATGCAATGATCCTGCAATCTGGGTCCCTCCTAGCTGCAAACCGATCAATCTGCAGCCACCTCAAAACGCGCCTCCTCAGAACTCTCCACCTTTCAACCTCTGAAGTTTGCTTTCATGAGCACTCTGTCCTACACTTCATACACTGGCTACAGCTTCTGGCACTAAAAGTAGTAAAACAGGAAGAGCGAAAGGAAGCCTGTCTAGCGCTGCAGTCTGAGTACCGTACAGCAATCTGCGCTTCAAAGCTCCAGGGTTTCTAAATTCCCACACTGCACAGCCGGCAAGAGAACCTGGCCGAGAACGAGTCCGAGAAGGGACCCCGGCCGGTGCCGATGCATGGCACCCCCCGGGCCCCGGCTGGCTGGCCGGCAAAAAATGCAGGCCGGTACGTGAATGGTGGAGCCAAATGCCGACTACCTCAGGCTGGTACCGAGAACCGGTACGTACCGGATTATCGGTACCGAGCCGACAGAACCGGGGGGCTGCCGGCGGGACGAAAGTCCATTCCGATCGATGTACCGGTAGTGAACAGTAACAGCCAGTGAACAGTAACGGAGACGGGTAGGGTTAGTTAGGGGGTTAGGGTGGGTACGGGTGCGGAGCGGGTGTTTCATTTGGTTAGGGTTTTTGTAACCCCAAAACGCTTACTGTTCACTGGGCTTGCTGTTCACTAGATCGAGAAATACCGAAACTTAAAGTCCGACGGTGGGAAACTGCTTCAACGCATTCTCCGGCCACCGTCTCAACGGCCAATCGCCGCGCGCGCCGTCGGACTGGCTGAGATCGATCGGATTTCGCCATCGCGCCTTTTCCCGTCGATAATTTGTCTGACTTCATCTGACGGTTTAAAGGACTTCTTGAAAATTAAGGTTCTGTTTCAATGCCGTCACCGGCGGCGTCGGCGGCGTCAGATGATCTCCGCTCGTCATCGACGGACAGGAGCCTCACATGCGAGAAGACCACTTGAAGAGATGCATAATGCACGTCGAAGCAAGGCTTTGATGCCCGGGCGGCGGGCTAGCTTGTGAAGTTTCTTGTCCCCGCAGATCAAGACGTTCTGCATGGTTCACGTGTGCAGGGGAACACCATGAAGGCCGTTGCTAGAGCTCGCTCTCAGGCGCTCTGCTCAGCTCACCCTTGCTCAGAAAAGGCCCCCAAGCCAGGGCTTGCATTGCAGAGGGGAGTGGCTGATCCAAGAAGAAACATTTCTCTGGAGCACGGAGGTGTGCTCAAGCGCAGAGCTGGGAACGCTGAGACTCTGTTCAAGCTGGTGAGGGGCCAATTCCTACCATGTCCTCTGGAATTGAAGAAGCTCATCACATCAAGTCCTTGACTGGTGCTTGCTCAGGATTGAGATCTGAGGCACTTCTGGGAAAGATTGGCAGCATTTTGTCAGGGGCAAATGATCACAGGACGATTTTCTCATGCATTGGTCAGGTTCAACGAGTCTGATCCACATTCTTGCTGTCCAATGGATCTCAGCTTGGCGAATGAAAAGTCTGGCCTACGGTCAATTGGACGCATGATCTGGGCCTAGATAGCTAGAGGACAAGATAGCTCCATGATGGATCGGTCCGCCACCTAATCTGCATTTCTGGCAACAAGAGCAGTCTGACCAGGACGTTAGGATCCCGTGTTAAATCTCAAAACCATGCGAACCCAGATTTTAAAAATACATTCTTGCAGGGCCACCACCAATTACCCATGGACCTCCGTAAAAGGAAAACATCCGTGAGGGCCACTGCGTCTGCGGCAGCTGCCGTGCCGCTTTCCTCGTCCCCTGAAGCCTCCCCCTTGCACCGATTCGTGCAAGCGGGGCTCACAACCGTGAGTGGAGGCTTCGATGTGACGGCGTGCTTTGTCAAATGGAGCGCAGCGATTCAGGTGGGCTTCAATTGATGTACAGCGTTTCTTGCTCCCAAAGTTCTGCTTCTGCGCTGATCAGATGATGACACCCTTTATGATAAGTCTCTGATGCTGTCATTGAAGCCCGGTTCTGGTCCTTTGCTCAAAGTGCAGGGTCTGACGAATGTTACGTGGGTAACGTTCTACGACAGAAGTACAAATAGGCAGGAGAGAGCCAGCAAAGCAATAAAACCACCCTTGCATACCCTTCTTCTGTAATCCCCAAACCATGCCATGACCTCCAAACCCTCAAACCCCCAGACCCCCAAACCATGCTATAACCCCCAAACCCACCTCAAGCTCCGTGAATTGTCATGACTGTCCTTCTTACATGAAGTTGCTGTAGCCCTAGCGGGCCAACACAAAGCCGGCACTCATTTGGAAAAGGGTATCCTTTTGCTCGCCCAACTATCTTTCTGAGCTCCCAAACAATCTGCTCATAAGCCGTCAATTATGCCTCCTCTCCTGCGACCCGCAGGTTTTCTTTTCCATGATGCACTCAAGTAGTGGGAGCTCTCCTGGACCCAGGATTTGAGAATTCACGTAACCCCCTATGAGCAGATTCTTCTTTAAAGCGCGCAAACTTCCTTACTGTAATTCTAAATGACCCTGTTTACCTGTGCCACATTGGGAGCAGATGAGAATGATCAGACAGTCTTCAAGCATTAACTCTTTGCTGCCCAGAGACCAACCAAGCATCGGCGCTCACTCAGCAAAATATTCACTAAAGCAACTTTCCTTCAAAATTTTATGTTGGCCATGTTTCTTCTGTGTGAGCCCGTCAGCAATCAAACAACCAGACAAACTTCAGAGGACAAACTCTCTGCTTTTAAAGTTCAACCAAGCAGCGGCGATCACTTTGCAGATCTCCCCAATGAAGCACCCCAGCTTTTTGACATGCTTATGCTGGCCTTGTTTACCTGCACGGAACCTCCTGTGATCAAATTTCAGATGGTCAGGTCTCTGATTCGTAACACCTGAGCTTTTTGTACTGAAATGTTCAACTTCCTCTGCTCCACAACACATGATGAGCTCGTTTGTCTAACTGTGGCTAGCCAACTCCTTTCATCCTCAAAGCTCTACCCTTTTTGCCACAGATTTACCTGAAGCTCTACTCTTTCTTGCTACAGATTTCCCTCTTGAAGCACCGCAAGTTCTTCACCAAATCGGTGCTGCGCCCCATTGCACCTGAACAAACCCTTGTGCAAGTTGGAATTGAGGGCTTCCTCAGTTTCCTGACATTTGAAGAGCTCGGGCAACTGGAGAGCTTGTCTAAGAGGTTTCTAAGAGCCAACACTGCTTTTCTTAAAGCTCTACACTCTTTGTTACAGATATTCCTACTGAAGCACCCCAACTTCTTAACCAAGCTGGTGCTGGCGCTGTTCTATATGTACGACGCTCTTGTGAGCAACCTCGACAAGGACCCCGAGCAAGCGACGCTGACCACGCGCAAGCTCAAGTACCTCGGGCCGAACTTCCCCGCGTATTCTGGACTCATGGTTGGGGATATCAACGTGGTAAGACTTTTGATTCCTTGAATGTTCCGGTAACTCGCTGCTTGAATTCTTGTCTTCCGGTGATTGAGAGCTGCTATTCTTCCAGCTGAAATGCACGGCCTCATCAGGCGGCCACAGGGGGGATTGGTCGCTAACCTGGGCAGGTTGTGCCCAGGTTACGTCATGGGTTGTTGCACAACCTAGGCAGTAACCTAGGTGCCTGTCCACCTAGGTTAAGTGGCACTCTCAACCTAGGCAGGTTGTGCGTAACCTATGCTGACCCTGGTTGTGAACAACTCAAGCCCGGTTGTTGTTAACCCATGTGCGCGAGAAGAAGAAAAGGAAACTTTGAGACCCTTTTTTGCCGTTGAAAACGTGGTAAATGTTTCTGATATTAGCAGAAGTACGTAGCGAGGGACTCTACCAAGCATAACCAAGACTGAAAAGTTTTGAATCCGGGGGAAAACGGAGAAAATGAGGTAATAAAAGTGTCCATTTGAACGTTTTCTAAGCTGTTTTTGCAGCTAAAAAGAACGCGCCCTTGCAGGGCAGAGGGTTCGAGCCCTCGACCTTTGGCCTGCCTCCTTGAATTAAGCACTCTACCACTCTACTATTGCTTCCTTTGTCTGATAAGCCTCTCCAAAACAATGACTTAAACGGTAGCATTGACCCGTTTGACAACAACCCACCCAGGTTGTGATGCAACCTAGTTTAAGTTTGGTGTAACCTAGGTGTTGCCCAAGTTACTCACTACCTAGGCGCTCCGGTTGTACATAACCTAAGTAATGGTTGAACAACCTAGGTTGTGCCACCCAGGTTGTCAACCACTTGTCAACAACCTGGGTCCCGTAACCTAGGCGTAACCTGGGTGCCTGGGTTACGGGACCTAGGTTGTTGACCAATCCTCCCTGTGGGCATACAAGGGAACATGCGTTTGGTGTCGGTCGATGTGAAGATTCACACTTCAGATTGAGGTTCTTATATGCAATCGATCCTGGTGGTTCGTTGTAAGTTCAGGGCTTGCTAAACCGTATGCAAAGTTGGTAGTCCTGACGTTTCGAAAGGACGCCCAACTTGTAAAACGGAACGTTTTTTCTTGCGAACTCGTGTTATGGCGTCAGGTTTTGACAAGCGGTATCAATGAACAGTCTGTGGACAATCAAAAGCTTTTGCGGTCTCTTTGAGCTCAAGCGTCCTGCATTGTTCGACAGTGAAGGTTACCCTTGCCGCTGTTCATCGACAAGAGACGAGCTGAGAATGCCCGGCGCTTGTTGATCAGAGACCGAAGTTATTTTAACCTTTCCGTTGCTAGAATGTAATTTAGGCGGTCTGAAAAGGCGGCGTTGTCAAAGACCGGACCCGAACCTTGGACAGATGTTTCAAACAATCGTTTAACACTTTCTCAGGCACGATGGTACTTCTACGATCCCTTATGTGGAAACCAATTCCAAATCTACAATACTGTTTACTGTACTTAAGAAGTCCACAAGAGCCAAAGAGCCCAGCTCTTCCTTCTTAAAACATTCCCTCAGTTGTTCCGTTCCGCTCTGCAGGTGAAGCAGCTCATCCTGGGTCCCCAGAAGCGTGGCCCGTACATCGCGTGGGGTCGCTTCGTCACCAAAGCGTGAGTCACCTTTTTGTGCCTCTCGTTCTGTGCCTCCTCTTAAACCCGATGCTCGCTGTAGCTCAAGAGCAGAAGTCCGCCACTAGGATCGACGGGGAAAACAATCGCGTCCACTTTGATTGACAGCAAAGCACTTTGGTGATATACTGCAAACACACGTGGGCATGGCACTTGGATGTCTCTTGTGTTCTATCTTCCATACACTCCTGATCTGCAAGGTTGCGATTCTCAAGTCGCCTGCCAGCAAACCAACGGTCTGACGCCCGCGGGTTCGCAGCCAACACTCACTCGCGTCTCGACTTGGGAGGTTGCATTCTGCGACTTGCTTGCTTGCTGACGTCAGCCTGACGCCCGCAGGTTTCCCGACAACATGCTCCTGTTCATGAGCGACAAGGCGGCGGGCGGGACGGGCGAGCGCGAGCAGATCAAGGCCCTGTTGATGGACCTTTTTACGAGCGAGGCGGTCGTTGCGAGGGGCAAAGATGAGGTGAGAAACTGCCCCCTGAAAGGTTTTGAAGGCAATCAGGTTAGAACAAATGTGGCCGTCTTCGTGGACCTCATTGAAGGACAAGAATGAGGTGAGCAATCGGCCCCCTGAAACGTTCTGTGGGCTTATGGGCAGGAACAGGAAGGCCCTGTTGATGGACCTCTTCACGAGCGAGGCGGTTCTTGCGAGGGGCAGGGATGAAATAAGAAACGCCCCCCCCCCCGAAATGTTTTAGGAACGTGTAGATCAGCTCAAAGCCATCTTTATCGATCTCTTCACGAGCGAGGCGGTCGCTGCGAGGGGCAAGGATGAGGTGAGAAACTGCCCCCCTGGAGATTGAGCAGGCAAAAAGGGGGGTCAGAGGTTAGGTCAGGTTATCGAGCGAGGCGGTCGTGGCCAGGGGCAAGGATGAGGTGAGAAAGCGCCCCCCTGAGCCGTTCTGTAATCTTATCGGCCATCTTGATTGGACCTCGTCACGAACGAGGGAATAGTTGCGAGGGGCAAGAATGAGGTGCGAGAGTGCCCCCCCGAAAAAACGAGAAATTGGGATCAAGGCCATCGTGCAAGACTTCTTCGCGAGCGAGGCGGTCGTCGCCAGGGGCAAGGATGGGGTGAGAAACCGCCCCCCTGAAACTTCTGCGAGGCTATGGCGAGGAACAGAGGAGGCCATCCTTTTCATAAGCGAAGCGATTCGGGATAGGGGCAAGGAGAGACCGAGAGATGCGTTCCCTGAGAACGGGTAACGCTATTCGGCAGATATTGAGAAATGGAAAACGAGCCTGGCGACTGTTGTGAGGGGCAAGGATCAGGTAAGAATCCACCCAAAAACCGGCTTGGAAAGTTGGGGTTATGGAGGACGAGATAAGGCCAGATCTTTTTACCTTCGAGCAGGTCGTGACCAGGAGCAATGATAAGTTGAGAGAACCAACCCCGAAACGCTCGGCGCTTGTAGAGAGGGGGGACTTGGAGAGAAGACTACGGCTCCCCGAACTTTTTCGTGAGACGTGGAAGGGTGAAGGCCAATACAAAACACCGTGCCGAATTCATTCGCTTGAGCCGGTAGCCATCGACGGTTGCGCGCGCTTGAAATCTCATTTCTCGGAGCATGGATTCGTGGCCTTATCTGGAAATCTGCATAAACTGGAGGGGCGAGTGCTGTTGACAGAATTGAGATATCGTTGTTTACTTGTTCTGTCGGTCCGAGGAGGGTCCTTGATAAGATGTGCAGAAATTGCTTCGTTGACGTTTTTGGATGTCGGCCGCGCTTTAAGTGATGTCAATGGTTTCTCCTTGTGGCCCTTAGTCTTCAGGTGTCACGTCACTGTTTGCCTCTAAGCGCCTTCACATTCTCCTTTTTGAATCGCACTCAAGCACGTTGTTTCTTGTACGGATTTGGCAGCAAACAGTGTCCTTTCTGCCGGGGCGGCCTTTTCCGACCCTTTTTCCAAATTGACGTCAGCGATTGACGTCAACACTCGTCCACGTCTCCCCGCAGGTTGCGCAGTCCCTGGTTTCAGCCTTCGCCAAAGAAGTGAAGGGCGGCGAGCCCGACACGTTCTCATTTAGCACCGCTTACATCCTGTACGTTGTTTTTGGTGAGACTTCTGCACTTTGTCTCGAGTTTCTTGGCTCGGTACGAGCTTCGTGCGCCTCGTGGAAACTTCTCTTTGCCCGGTTGACCTTTTCGCCTGGGGCTTGAGTAGTGCGTCACCGGTGCAGAAATCCATTCGCTCGTGCAGGGACTTGCATCCGGTAAAAGATGCCTGCGTCTCTGTGTAAGCTTCCCCTCCCAGTTTCTGTAGACGAATCTTTCCCCTCAGGGCGTGACTGCGCGGTTTCGCTCCGTATCCTCGGGCGCACTTCTGAGACAATGCATGGCACTCTAGCTTTAAAGAAGTGTCTTTTCAATCTAAAACTGTGCAGGAATTGTCGTGCTTTGACGATTGATTCACTGGCTTATGACGACTGATTCACTGGCTTCAGGTGTTACTCCAGACAAGGCGACGACGGAGCTCGTGACCAAAGGCATCGTACCCTACAGCATTTTCAGAGTGAGCGGATAGCGACAGCCATGGATTTTCTATTTTCTTCTAGCTGCTCTTACTGCAGGACCTAAGACGAGTTTCACGATATCAAAACACAGGACACAAACTGACGCAGATATCACACGCCGCAAAGGCAAATCTTTCTGCTACAAGAATTTGGGCCTGCTTCGCACTTCTACATAGCTTCACAACCGTCTCCCTTACTTTGCTCGTCTGCCATACTTCGAGCTTCAGAAGCGGTTGCTCTCAATGTAAGCACCCGCCTCTTTTGAATCTGCGGATTTCGTCCGTTCCGCTGTCGTCCTCTTCTATCTTGTTCTCGTCTAGTCTCTGAGAGCAATTGTGTTTAGTGCCCCTCGTTCTCGATGCTTGTCGGTTGGGACACTACAGTTGCCTCCACGAAAGTCAGAACGGCTTACGATACCGCCCTCCGCTCACATCCCAGTCCAGCTTCCATTGCTCTGTGTCTTCAATCATACGTTTTAGCTCTGTTCCTCACCTTTAAGGGACCCCATCAGGTAAGGAAACGGTTGCTCCACAGCTTTAGATCCACAACGTATCCCCCGGCCCCAGCAAAAAGCTTTCTTCTGGCTTTTTCCCCCACGTGGACATTCTTCCTTGCAATTCCCTTACGAACCTCGTGGCGTTTGAATTCACCAACAAGCGGCCCCAATCCTCCTCGGTGGTGCTGCAAAAGCCATAAGTCACCCCTTCAGAAAGGCACCCGCGATTACCAAAAAGGACCCGTTCGAATCTGTTACGTGCTAACTCACATCAGACCCGCACCTTCCCCGCTTTACAACGCAGGTTCTCGGCTGATTATATTCTGCTCTGTGGCCCTCCCAGCTTCTTCTCCAAGCTCCGGTATCGCACGTTGTGCCTCCTTGACTCTTGCCATTTGTCTCGGACCGGAAAGCTTGTATTCCTCCCACGTTAAAAGGCACCTTACTTCCCCCTCTTCCACAACAGATCTCGCCGATTGGCATGTTCAAGTGGGGGCTCTCAGACGGAGAGAAGAAAGTGCGCGCTCTGCTCGCGCAGTCTCCCCTCGTGACCGGCGCAGACCTGAAGGGATACGATCGTGAGAAGTTTCTGGACGCGCTCATGCCGATCCTCTATATCGCGGCGATTCCGGGGCCGGCGACCTTCATCTCGTATACGACGGCACTCCTCCCGAGCTCCTTTAAGGTGGGTCGTGTGATGCTGACGTTAGAGTTTTCAATCACCCCTTCACTGATTCGGTGCCGATTCTTAACGTCGCGGCAATTCCGGGGCCAGCGACCTTCATCTCTATACAACGACACTCCTGCCGAGCTCGTTTAAGGTGGGTCCTATGTTGCCGACGTCAGCGTTTTGAATTCACGCCTTCCCCGACCCGGTTCCATTCCTTAACGTCGCGGCCGTTTCGCAACGACTTTCAATCAGTGCGAGACGACGCTCCTTCTAATGTCGTTTACAGCGGGGCCTTTCGCTGATCCAGCTCTGAGGTTCACGGATTGAAAAGAGTCTCTGAATACGCATTTCTGAGGCCAGCTACCTTCATCTTGTACAACAATGCTCCCAACGGACTCGTGTCCTACCAGCAAACTTAGCCTCAAAAAGGTCACGGCTCTGACATTATAACGCCGGCTCTGAAAGTCGCTGCCAAACTGTGGACCAGTGGCTTGCATCGGGTTAATGAAGAAATCTCCTGCCAAGCTGTTGGAAGTGGGAGTGCAAAAACGATTCTGCGTACACGGCTGTCACGTCTGTACGTCGGATCTTCTGCGGGTGCTCAACATGGTGGTAAAGTTGTGATCACGACGTCTTTCTCGTTTGCCAGTTCGCCTCTCTCAAGTAACAACGGTCAATCAAGTCTGACTGAGACGCCGGCCGTCCCGGTGCATTTCTCCTTGCTCAATTCAAAGCCGTCGTCGAGACGGGTTGTGAAGCCCGCAATTTCACTGTATGCCTTTCCCGTCTTGTTTCTAGGCCCGGCTTTCTCTTGTCGGATGGGATTTCAGAGCTGGTATTTTGAGAGATGAGCACCAGCAGTTGCAGGCAGATGGGTGAGGGTGCTCTTTTTAGAAGTACGGGAGCGCATATGAAAGAGTATGTATGCATGAGAATACAGTATGAGAATATATATGCATGAAGCACCCTATCTTAATGTAGACTGAGTCTGATTATCGTAACTACTTTCCCCTTGCTTCCTTTTGCAGTTTGACTTTGGAAGCGACGAGGCGAACTTGAACGCAATGTACGAGGCGATGCGCGCGCACCCCCCAGTGGCTTCTGTCTCATCGTACCTACAGCAGCCGACGGAGATCGACATCGACGGCAAACGGCACCTGTTCCCGGCGGGCACCAAAGTCATGTACAGCATAAAGACTGCCAGCAAGGATCCGTCGGTGCATGCGGACGCCCTTACGTAAGGGCTGTCCGCAAGCTGTCCGCTAGCTTACAACTCTTTCTGTGGTATCCTTAACATATTGTGCTGATCATTCTACCCTTGTGATTCACCTTCTACGATCTGTGTTTCTCTCACGTCGCCTTTCTCGAGCTAGCTCCCTGTTGCTTTCTCCGTTCTCGTTGTTGGATGTGCTCTGATCCTACCAACGCCCTCTTCGTTGTCCAACACACAGGAGGAGCAACGACACTACGTAAGCCTTTAAGCAAACTCTTAGCGTCAAGGAAAAACGGCATTCCTTACTGTATTAGCAGCAAAATAAGACACGGTATAACGACAGCCGGCAAGGATTCGTCCGTACACGTGCACGCACCCTTGTTAATCTGACCCTGTCCGCAAAAGCAAGTCGCGCCTCTCCTTAGCCCTCTCTTTCTGCTCTTGATTCTTGTCCGCTCTCAATCTTACCTGTGAGCTATGGTCTCCATGCTTCTAAACGGGAGTCGAGCCGTTGGGGCATGCTCTTGCTAATCTCAAACGCATTCTTGCTCTGTGCGTGTGTCTGCCTGGATTGTATGCTCTTTTGGTATCCTTTTCTTGGGCAGTCCGGCCCTGGCTCAAAGGTCAAGTCCTCCCTTTTGATGCCGTGTCGCCCGTTGCAACGGGGCCCTCGTTCTCAGGGCTTCCTTCCTTAGTTCTGGAAGCAGAGAACCAGGTCGTCGCTCTGAAACTGCTATAATTAGTTGTTTTATTTTTCGTGCTTCTGCAGAAGGCTTCTCTTTCGCTCCAGGGGGTTGTATCGGTAAGAGCGAGTTGGCGACTGCCTGTGACGGCGTCGACCCGTGTACGGTAGCTGCCGACTCGAGTCACACCGGATGCCGTCCAACTTTGAGTCTGGTTACTCTTACGATATACTCTGAAATGCAAATCCCTTGATGTAACGCTCTGAGATGCAATTTCCCTTCATCTGGTGCTGACACGTAGCGCTTGCTGACGCAGGGTCGACGTTACCCGGCCCAACCTGGCCGCCCACGTGCTCAACTTTGCCTCCTTCGGCCCCGAGAACTTTGGCCGGCAGTGCCCCGGGAGAATGGTGGCGGAGAGACTGGGGATGGATCTGTTCAGGAATTTAGGGAACTTGGAGTTCAGGACAACGCCAATTGCGTAGATGCCCGCAAACGGTATTGAAGGCTTCGACGGTTTTCTTTTGGTGGGTGCGTCTCATTATGACAAAAGTGCTTTTATCCCAACGAATGTATATCCGGGAGTATATACACGAGACATTTATAGTTGAAATATATGTATTCTATGTTCCAGTACGACTTTATGTAAGGTGAAAACTATTTGTAAAGTCGAAGGACCGTGTTTGGCAAATAATTAGATTGTTAATTCAGTATGTACGATCTTTCACAGGCTTTGCGGTGCTTTCCATTGAGTTCATCACAATCAAGATACAGGTAAGCAATTTGCGGCTATGGACAGAAAGGCCGGCTAGTCTTAGCGATAGAGACGGTATAACCATAATGACCTTTTCTTAGCAACATTAGAAGCAGTCATTAACATGGTACACACGTACCAGATATAGTAACGAATAGCTGCTCATTTCAGTCCGACCATTATTTGATATTCCGACCACGCAGCGCCGATGGCAACCGTGCCCCTCGCTTGCATAACGCCGTACTTCAAACAATCTATGATGCCAACCAGCCTAATGTTATACCAGTATAGGTCTATATCATAGTATAGACAGCTACAGCCGAGTGCAGACCGTTTCAATCATCCTAAGACCGGGTTCGTTCGTGAAATATACTTCATGAACCCGATCTTAAGGTGATTGAAACGGTCTGCACTCGGCTACAGCTGCCTGTTGTATATCCGATGCTGGCAGTGGGTTAGAATGTGAACTTATCTGGTCACGTCCCTTCAAGTACCTTTTTTGAGGTTGTAAAACTCAAAATTATTGGAATTAGGATGCAGAAAGAGAGCTTCGATCAGAGCACCTTTCCAGCTAGCTAACAACAGAACACCTAAGTTTTCAAATAGCTTTAATACCTGGGCGGCTGCACTGATAATCGTGGTGCGCAAGCTAGCTAGAATCATTCATGTCATGCATGAGCCTGCTCAGCTGTCCAAGCTTGGCTGGCCGATGTTGTTCAATCTCTAACGTGGATTTCTAGCTATATACTATAGCTAGAGTGTCGCTAGAATCCAACGTTGATTTCTTGTTGATTTCTATAGCTGAATAGCTATAGCTAGAATCATTACTATATGCGGACTCAATTTACTAAGTTGACTATTGCATGGACAACTTTCTGATCGGTCGTGCATATGATTGTATGCATCCGCCCCAATGATATCCTATGCAGGCAGTGCCACGGCCGACCGTCCGGTGGTGCTCAAGACAGTTTTCTAGTCATCACTCCGGTCATATACATTCATTATACCATGATTTCATTCAAAACTTCATTAACAAGGCCCGGCGGTGTTCACTTTATGATTATACTACGACGGTCGAAACCATGCCAGTTCGGATATATCCGACATTGTATCATATGACCGATCATCAGTTCATACGTGTGTATGGTGTGTGTATGGGGCGCCCGGCCTGGTCCGGTGGCGCGGCCATCCCCTCGTCCCCCCTTGGACGCGCTGGTGCAATCTAGCAGGGTCGAATCATGTGCTGTGGTGCATCGAGCTAGTCCAGGTTCAGATTGGGCCCAGATCCGTCTAACATTCATCTGGTGACCTGAGCTAGTCGGATCGATTGACTACGTACAGCTTCTCCCGACCATCCTACCAGTTTTAGTGGGAGAATTAGTCTAAGTTAGTCAGTCTGCTGCTCAGTGTCTGAAATTAGTCACTCCAAGTTAGAATATGACACTAAGTCTGGCAGGATGGTCGGGAGAAGCTGTAACGATGTACCAGAAGCGAGAGCTCTGGCCTCGTGAACTTGGATTGACGACTTGTAAGTACCGTCCGATAAGTTTGCTGACCCGGCTGACCATCTCGATCAATGCGGATACGTACGGGAGAGTGCGCCATCAGCTAGCATGCTCTTCAAAGGTTTTCATAGGCGTAGGGCCCCGGGCTGCCTACTATCCTGGTGTCTGGAGGGATTGAAAAGCTCAGCTCAACTGCTCAACCGTCCATCACTTGTCGAAAAGCCTGCCAAGTCGTGAACTTGAGTCACTTCAGGCTAAAAGCACACTTACCGTAGTGACTTGGGAATTCACCCCCAAGCGCCGCGAATAATTATTTTCGAAAGATTTCAGGTTTCGTCCGGCGATGCGAGATAATATTTTACATTTCTTCAAATTTAGAATTTTGGATTTTTTGCCTCGTTTGGCAGCAATCTGAGCTGATTTTTAATATTTTTAGTATTTCTCCTTTTCTCCCTCAGGGTCCAATTTAGTTTCTGAATTTTCGTCTTGAGTCAAAATAATTATTAAAGGATGAACTCCCAAGTCACTACGGTACTTGAACATACCTCCGTGAAATGTTAATTTAACGTTGGTGCATGACAGTGACGTGCATCATTGATCATGCCGACGGTCAGTGGCGTCCGAAAAAGATGCCCAGCGCTCAGGCTGCTTTATATACATGACGTTTTTGTATTGAACTGATTGAAGAGCAGGCAGATGGCCTAGCCCTGGCCCTAGGAAAGGATCGAGAGGGGCAGGGCGCATAGGCAAGGGACGGTGGTACGAACTTCAATCCCACGGGAAGTACTTGGAAGGACGGAGGACGGAACACCGGACTTTTGGACTAAAATCGTGTAAGTTATAACTAGTAACTTATAGCAGGAAACTCAGCTTGCGGGGCTGAAAAGGCTTCGACTCCAATGTATTACACCCTTCCACCATCCCGCGGTCATCGTGGCATGCACGACCTGTCGCCATGTAGACTCCCTAAACAACGTCCCAATGAGGTGCCACTGATACTATACGGGGGCGGCTGGCACTCAGTGCTAGCTATTGTAGGTTCTCCATGGCGGCACTGGCATGCGCCAATCCGATCCATACGGAGCACCTCGGAAATAGAGTTATGGTTGCCATGCAGAGTGTCACTTTCAACTTCTTGACCACTGTTGAAAAGACATTAGTGCAAACAATGCAACAAAGAAAACAGCATGCCTAGCTTTCTACCTTTAAGTTTGCTCACTTTGAGTCAATCATATCGGAGACTGGATGACTTGGACTAGGCATGACACATGCTTCAATGGTGGCGTTCCTTCAAATTGAATATTCGCATATGGCGCTGTCCACCGGCTACATACGTGCCGCCACCCGTCCTTCTCACAACGAACATGTTAATTGATTGCTGAACGACAATTGAACGAGTCTAAAGTATCTTGTAGCTAGCCGACTCATTTCACATGCATGGCAACCCTCGTTTTGAATCCTGAGTTGACCGCTTATCTAAAAACTTTCATATCTCATCCTGTTCAAAAGCTTACACTAAGCGGACCTCCTAATATTTGTACACCGATTTAAGCTGGACCTTGTTTGACCGTCTCCTCTTAACCGAGAGTGCTTTCAGCTGCTCCGCCTCCTTATGGTAGCCATGTTTCCGCAACCTTTTATACCAAGCGAGAGAAAAGTATGGTCGTATGTGAAGCTTCCTCATGACCATCTCCTTGAACATCTCGACAACCTTGTCAGATTGCCCGGCCCTTATATACATTTCAAATAAGCTGAACACAACACGTGAGAATCAGAATCAGTTTCCTTCAGAGGCACTTCAAAGTAGGCACTATTTAGTCAAGAAATGGTATCTGCCACCTGCGGTTAATGTGATGGTGAAAAGTGGGTCGTTCTAAATGTTCTACAAATCCGGATTTGTGCTTAAATACCCGGCCATGATGCAATCAGAACTACTGGTGATGTGAGAATGGCAATCGTGTGCTTGCACTGCCCTCGAAGCTGGCACCTTAGGTCAAGGCGGCATGTAGTGGAACTTTCTTGAAAGGTCACGTTGAAGAAGCAAAGACTCCGATGACAAGAAAACGGGTAACGAAAATGAGATCTTGAGCTGGGCCCATGGACATTTATGAAACCCTGGCGGATCACTAACCCAACGCAAAGTGGATACGAAGCCTACACGCAGCTCACCAATGGAAGACGCTTTCCCCAATTACCGTCATGCTGTGAGAAAGTGCGCTCGCATCAAGACTCCGGTAATAATCCGCGAGCACCTCCTCTACGTGCGGTATTCTGTCTGCCCTTGTAAGGGCGTACAGCATGTACCGAACAACTTCGGGGCTGAAGGTACCTTCAAACTGCTTGCCCAGCTGGTAAGCCTGCACGGGGTTAGTTACAGGGGTACATGGTAGTACTTGGGTCGGGGCCTGTGTATAACTTTGAGTTAGGCAGCTAGGAAATGAAAGATACTACTTCATTGCAAGTGAGGTAGTCAGGGAGCCTAAACAGAACATACACCTGGACTACGTGTAGACGCCTAGCAATCAACCTTGTATCCAGCCCTACAACTTACGTCTATAATAAATGGAAGCTGTGTCCTAAGAGCCAGATTCTCAAATCCTAACATGCTATGTTCAAAAGTAAGGCAACTTTGACATTGACTACAAAGATCACTCACAAGTTACAATTTGAAAAGCAACGGGCATGGAGCCATACGCGCAAAGTCTCATCCAGCAGTCCAATGAATACGTCTGTGCTCCAAGCATAAAGTATGGCACGGCTACGGCTGCATCGCCTATCCGCTTGGAAGATAGAGATTAAGAAGAACTCACCTCCCACATCTTATCTACCAATTTCAGTGGGTAAAAACATCGTATAATAAGAGCAGCTTGTACTGAAATGCTCGTTCGGTGTGGTCCCTCCAAAGTTGACAAGAGCTCATTAGCTTTGACACCAACCCATTCCAGTTCTCGGCTGGTTGTGTAGATTAAAGCAGCATCCAAACTCACACCGTGCTTCTCATTTTGGACTTTTGCCAGCATCTGCGCTTCGTCCTTGAAATTGTTTCTAATGAGAACCATTAAAATCCGAACATAGATTTCAACCTTGATTGCTTTCTTTCGCTTAAGCAATCTGTCTACAACCACAGCAGCCTCATCTCTTCGCTCCAACAATGAGAGAGCGTCGATCAGTCGAGCCAGCAGGCGATCGATATCTCTATGTTTTAAGCTAAGAATTGGTTCAATGGAAACTCCCGCTTTCAGAAGGATCACATATCCAGGTTCTAAAAGCCCCCAGCCTGTGGATTGTACTGCCCGCTTGTACAACATCCAGATCTGCTTTGGATGGGCATGCTTTGCATGCATTGCTTGGACTGCATAGTCATGCCCTCTTGGAAGAACTGCCCAATTGTTCTTCAATGCTTCACTATGCACCGCTAAGGCCTCCTCATAAAGTCCCCTATCAAAAAAAGCCTTGCACGCGTCCGCGACAAGAAAACGATCATGTGTTGCATGCACTTTGTAAGTGTTCCAGATGACTCTAAGCTCGTTGTCCATGCGAGCCCGACAAAGCACCTTGAAAAGTGGATTCAGCAGCATCAGTTGAGGCGTCTCGGTGTTCTGGCTCTGCTGCCAGTTGAAAATGTTCAGAGCTCGTAGCCCGTCGTCTAGGCTGCATTCGATATCATCATCCGTAGAGCGGAGATCTTTCATAGCAAGAGAGGACTCGCCAGATTTCCAAAAAGGGAATCTGATAACACTGTGACGGCTTCCCCTATTCCCAAGAAGGTGCAGAATCGACCGGACAAGCCTTTCATTGATCTTCACTCCAAACACCTTACTATCTTTGAGCTTCTCATGAAGATCTACATCCACAGGCCACCCTTTGAGCCGCTGATAAAACGCCTGGGTGATGCTGACCCACTGATGCCTCGCCTCTTTCGCACTTTTTGGCCTCTGAGGACCGAGTCTTTCTGAACCTTCCTGGGCGCCCCAGCCATCCCTCAACTCTTTACTTGCCTGATTCCTTTTCTCCCTTGCCACTTCACTTTCCTGCGCCTCTACTCCCACACCCTGTTTTGCAGCCATTGTTGCAAACGTGTAAGCTGGGACAGCCACCGAAAAAGCAGCGGGGCGGCAAACGCCAATACATTCTGACGGCGGCCTGGGAGATAAGAACCGTCCACTGCTGCCTGGGTCCTGCATTGAGTTGGTCCCATTGCCCTCTGACCCCAAATGACAGCCAGCATCGAAGTGCACAATGCCAATTGGACGCACTGCCTGTCGCAAAGTGCGGCCCCCCCAGCTCAAGGAACGGGCAAACAGATTGAGCGCCATATCACCTCAGGAGCGGACTCCACAGGAGTAAGAACCGTAGCATTGCTGGATGAATCAACGCAGGGTTAACGCCACAGCTATTTGCTTTGTGCAGCTCTGCATGAGCAAAAGGGGGGCTTATCAACACCATCAATTTTGGCATTCAGGGAGCACCTAGTGGGACTAGATAGAAATGGAGAGCATCGAAGCAGATATCGACTCTTTTGCAATCAGCTTTTGAGGCCATATGATTGACCTGAGGGGGGTGTTCCCTATGAAAGCAAACCGCTTCTCAGGCCCTTCCAAAGAAAACTGAAAGCTCATGGAACCCCCTTACAATTTGACAATCTGACATGGCGAGAGGCAAGAAGTCTCAGAATCTCTTGACTTTGCAAATCAGCGCCTGACTTGCTAGTGCTCCATTAGAAGATCAAGATAAGTGCATTTAAGTAGCCCAGATGCCAATGTGGCTAAAATTCTTCCACATTTCTTCAACGTCAGACATTCCAAAGGAGCCGCTCTTTAGTGGTTTTCCGGGGGTTTTCCCTGGCGTGCCAACAAACTATTCAAGATCGTTAGATTGTTAGGTACTCAGAGTTCGCTGCAACAAAGATATCAAAAGGATCCAAACCACCTCAGCAAAACAAGTGCAATTTACTATGCTCCCAGCTCACCTGACATGTTATGCGTTCCTGATTCTTGATTCTCTCGCAACCAAGTGCGGGCCCCCTTTGCTCCTTCTAAGCTGCTTTCCCCACGCTTTCCGACCTTAGTCCCTCCTAAAGCGTCCCAAAACTTAAAGGTAGCATTGAACTTGAAGCTGAGCTCATGAGGCTCTGATCAGAGCTGCAACATTGCAATTTGCACGCCATGTTGCACTTCACTGTGTGGCACAGTGCATTTACGTATGATTGGTAGTCAGTGATTGTGAGTGAATGGTGAATCGACGGTTCTAAGATGCTTCTTGGTTTGCAAGACGGTCTAACGCGCGCCACCTGGCAATCTATAAGCAAGTTAGTTGCCGGATTGCTTCCGCTTCTCAATAGGTATTGCGCGCGCACAATCCGCTACTCTTTTGCTTCCTTTTTGCTTGTGCTGATCCATTTGCAAAAAATGTATTGTATTAGCAAACAATTGAAATCGCGTGCTCAGTGCTGCCTGCTGAGCTGTAGCCTGGAGCAGCATGGTCAATATTGGGACGGAGAAGGTATTTTTTGTGTAGGGAGTGCTGTACGGTAGCCTGTAGGGCGTAGCTGGTTGTCCGTCCATATGTATCACTGATGTCAGTAGCAGGTCAGCAAGTCAAGAGATCCCAGCTGCAGGAGAAAACAATTCGCATCTTGACAATCCATTGTTTCACCGGTCCAGTAAGGTCTGGTTTTACAGGTTTCATCCAAGCTTGTTTTGGTGAAAAGTGGCAATGTGAATCAGGGTCTTCACAAGCTCTTTCGGCAAGAGTGGAGAACTCAAAGCTGATTGCTATTACTGTGTACACTCAGCAATTGCTGCGGAACATAGACATATGCACCTTGCAGCTGCACCTCGGGCTGGCTTAACGTTACTCACCTGCTTCAGCGTATCTTGAGCTCGGAGGTCCACACTACCTGAATCACGTACTCGCAGACTCCCTGCACGTTCTCCTGCAAGCTTTACAAGCTTTTGACAAGCATCGTGATAGAGTGGCTCTTCAAAATCTGTGCTGAAACCTGCACATAGAAGTGCCAGAGAAAATGGACGACACAGCGGAAGCAGCCCCTGAGGATGTGGGACCGCCGAGTGACCTGGCTGCTGAGCTCGATGAGCTGGAGAAAGCAAATGAGCATCTGGAGAAAGAGAACCAGCTGTTAGAAGCGTACTTGCAGGTATGCAAAATCATTTGATCCATTCAATGCTGGACTCTGGTGATTCAGCTTCTGAGAAGGAGGACCAGCTCTCAAAAGGTTACTTGCAGGTAAACTCCTGATGTATTGACACTCAGCACAAGGTACAAGGCTGACTTGCGTATAAAGTGCATGCATATATGTGCTATGGAGGAACATTGCCTACAGGACTATTAGCATGTGAATTTCCTATTCTCGTTGCAAGCTCAAATGGGAGCTGCATAGCTCATACACCTTTCTGGTATCTTGAAGGAACTTTTTCAGGGAAAAGTTCTGTTCATTGGTCACCCAGGTTCAAACTCGCAATACAACCACTCCAGTGTGTCCCTTTTTGAAATCACGTCAAAAAGCCCTTCTAGGATATCAGTCACAGATGGGGGGCTACTTTTACCTGCAGCGTGTCACCCCTGCTGGGACCTCCGGCGCCGATCTGGATGAACCCCTGGGGGGGCGGAAGCGCAGCCCTAAGAAGAAAGCTGTAGAGGACCGAAAAAGAGAGGAGCGCCTCCTGACAATGGATGAGAAGTACGAGATTGCCTGCGCTGAGATCGAAGTGATCAGGGAAGAAACGCAGCGGGTGCGGCAAGAAAGCGAGCGCACGCTCGAGGATCTAAAGGCGTTGTTGGAGGAAGCTGACGTCAGCATTGCTCAGACGAAGAAAGAATCATATGAGTTCCGGAGGGATGTCGTTATGGGGGGGCAGAACGGGCAGACGGGAAAGACCATGGCCGAGAAGGTGCTGAAGTGAGTGAACGCTCTCACAAGAAAGGCTTCTTTGTGCCTGAGCTAAAGTGTGGACATTCAGTGGGTAAATCCTGGACGTCTTTCTCCAACAGGATTTCTTGAAAAATGGACATATGCGGAGGAAGAAAGTAACAGCGTAATGGTGGCCACTGGTTTCAGTTGACAGAATCGATGATTTAAGGACACCTGGCAAGCTTTATCAAAGGTAACGCACAGCAGGTTTGTTGTTGCTTCAGCATGCTAAGCGGAAACGATGGAGGGCCGTCTGTGCATCACTTTTCAATCGAGCTGGTAGCTTGTGCCTGCTGTACCAAAATTCCCGGTAGTCTTGTCCGAAACTCTCTGTTTCGACCTAGGAGTTACAAAAAGTCCGGCTGAAGGACTGCATTTGCTTTTTCTCAGGTACTTCGAAGATCGTTTCCGGGAGCGAGACTCGACGGTGGAAAAGTTGCGGTTGAAGAACGCGTCTCTAAAGATTCAGGTGCGTGTGATACTTCTGCCTGTTGCTTGGGCAGTCAAGGAACAGGAGAGAAAAACAAGTAGCGGATTACATGGCGGGGATCCGTATTCGGCAATTCGCTCTGTAAAGCAAATGTCACACTGTTGGGGAGATTTGGCAGCGAAGAGCCGAGGGTCGATACGATACCGTGGCTGCCCGAACCCCTTGGCTTGAGAGAGCTTCTCTCCCCCTGCTTTTTCTTACCGACTATGGAGGCATGACTCCTAACTCGATCTCCACCAAGACCAGACTCTACCCTTTTCCGTTCATTGATACACTCGGATAATGGTTATTGAGACTCAGAAACGTCAAAAGACGACGAGGAAGAGTCGCACGACTGGAATGGTGCACTGAAGGAGACTCTGAAGTTACGGCGAATTGACCGAGACACTCTACGACAGCCGTCCTGAACCAACGCTTTATGGAGCCAAAGGAGAAACGTAGCCAACGGGGATCTCAGAAACGTTGTCTCAACTCCACGTTCGCCTTCCATTGCTTGTGATAGCTCTTTACACTCGTCCTACTTCTGACTGACTTTCTTGCGTTTCCCTGCTTTCATAATTTTAGCAGAGTTCAGTCTGCGGTTCAGCAAAGGTCTTCCCACTTCTGTGTGACCATCTTGCGTTCCCTCCTTTTCCACGACAGCGAGATTGAGGTAGCTCTCGAGCGGAACTCGTCCCGCTTCAAGCTTGCGTTCTCTGCTTTTTTCCAGATCAGCAAGGCTGAATGAGCTCTCTAGCAGAACTCGTCCCGCTTCTGACCGATTTTCTTCCTTTCCCTGCTTTCTTCAAATCAGCAAGGTTGAGTTACCGGCCTACCGGCTTCCATGTGACCTTCTTGCGTTCCTGCTTTCACAATATTCTAACAGAGCTGAGACAGGCAGGTCTTGAGCAAAACACGTCCCGCTTCTTATTGACTTTCTCCCTTTCCCTGCTTTCTCCAGATCAGCAAGGTTGAGTCCAGTCTGCAGCAGAAGGAGGAAATGGGCGAGGTGCTCAACACCGTCGATTTCGACCAACTCAAGATCCAGAACCAGCAGTTCCTGGAGAAAGTCGAGGAGCGTAATGCTGAGCTCATCAAGCTGAAGTTGACGGCAGCAAGGACGCTACAGGTGAGCGGATGGGCCGGGAGCTTTCCCGGCAATGACGCGAGTCGTAGCAAAAGATTCGGTCGCTTTCAGCGACCCGCGAGCGAGCGCAAGCGCGCTTGATCATAGGTGAAAGATACCTTAGTAGTGCGGATTAAGTGCGCGACTCTGGACCAACAAGGTGCTAAGCTTGCGTTCTTAGTAAGCTATTTATACCCGTCAAGTACTTTTAGAGCTATGGATCAGGACAATCCTATCTTGCGTCGAACTTTGACTAGAAGCCGAGGTTTCCGATTTTCAAGAACCTCTCATGACACTCCCACACGGCCAACTGTCAGAACCCATGATCAGCCCCATTGCCTGATAATTAAAAAACATGCAGATCAATTGAAGCCCCGTGACTACATCAATGCGCTTCGCAGATCCTCAACACGCTCAAAAAGAAGCTCAGCGGGCTGACGTGGCAGGGCACGTGGCTCGCCAAGACGATGGCGGAGAAGCGCGAGCTGCTGAGTCGGTACGAGAAGGAGATTCTGACCATTGGCGATGAGAAGGTAAGAGGGCGGGCGATCCGCCTTTTGAATCCGCAGGTCACCTGTGCTAATCATACGGGTAGCGGATGTATCAAGGGAAAGCTCGGCTTGCACCGCTTCGACCGACAGAAGTTCTTCAGAGACCCAAAATCTCTTCTGCGAATTGAAGCTTTGGTGCGATGGCGAGAACGATCTAACTGGGATCGACAACTCAAAGCCCATGCGCTTCGCACCTTCACCGAACAGTAATCTCTTGGCTTTTATCGTCTCCAGGCCTTCGACGTTATCTCATTGGAGTTCGCCTCCATAGAATGCTGCAGTAAGGAACCTGGTCCAAGAGTGTTTTTCTGCACCGGGTTCTGATTCGGAGCTTGTTTGACCCCGTCGCGCCGCACTGCAGTCTTCAAAGCTCTGTTTGACACGTGGAACTTGTAAATTCCATACCCCAAAACCCTTCATTTGGCAGGCGGCCTCGCGAAGCGTCAGGTGGCGACGCGAAAATCTAAACCCCTATGAAAGAGAATCAATCCCCCAGGCGGACGCCTAGGGATTCCTTCTAGAATCCCAACTCGAAGACCCTGAACCCCGCAGGCGGCCGCGCAGAACCGGCAGGCAGCGCTGAAGACGCAGCGGAAAGGTCGATAACGCAGCAGCGGCGCAGGGCCAATGAAACGCTATGCTTTTACTTTTGAAGCTCTGGCTGGCCTCTTAAACCCCTAACCGTGCAGGCGGCCGCACAGGATCACCAGGCGACGCTAAACGCTGCTAACAATCCTGAAGTCAAAACCCTGTGAACCCCGCGCAGGCGGCCGCGCAGGACCGGCAGGCGGCGCTGAAGAAGCAGCAAGAGGACCCGGAGCTGCCGTGCGTGATGGACTACATCAAGCTGAAAGCAAAAGTGGCGGAGCTGGAGAAGAAGTCCGTCGACTGGGAGCGGAAGGTGAGCGGAATGAGCCGGAAGCTTGGGGCGACTGTCACAAGCTCCCCAGTGAAACGCCTAGGAATCTATCATCCGGAGCTGTGGACGTATTACAAGTGCTTCGAGCTGCGTATGGGTTGCGAAGCTGAATCGGAAGCTCGTCGGATAGGAGCGGAAGGTGAGTGGAAACGCGGCCGGATAAGCGGAGTTATATGGTCCTCAGTGCTCACGTCGTTTTAAGGGTTACAGGTGGCTCCATGTCAGTTCCTGGCGGTGGTGACGAGCGAAGAGTCAGTGAGCTTGATAACCAAGGCAAAAGGTTCGGAGAGGGACTCCTTTGACTGGAAGCGGAACGGCGTGCAGGGAACGCTGCCAGATTGTAACGAATGATGAACGGATGAACGGATGAACTTTCAGACCTCCGAGGGCCAAAATCCGTCCTGCGCGACCAGTCGTAAGACTGGAAGCGGGGCCCGAGCCAAGCTGCTTCTCCAGAATCGTCGACAGTCCCTATAGAACCAAGCTCGTGAACTAATTGTCGCAATTGCCCCTATGTAACTCGTATTTTTCGCTCGGCATGGAGCGAGCATCGGTCTGCAAGCTAGCCAGCCCTCAAAACCTTAATCGCGAGATCTTCTTGGATTGTCACAGGTGGAGATCGTGGAGATGGACGTGAAGCGCACGCGAAGGCAGGCGGGGTTGACAGGGGGAAGCAGCCGGCCGGGGAGCAAGATGAACCTGGCCGGGTCCATGCGGACGACCCCGCTCCCGGCGGACCGGTAAAACGGATGAACGCCAGCCAGAACTTGGTTGTGGCTACTGGAAAAAGGGGAGGGTCCGTCCTACTGGTTCTTCGAGTTGGAAAGCCCTCATTGCCAATTTGAAAAAGATTGTTAATATGCCAGTGCACGAAATGAAACTTGAAACAGCAAATGATGGAGCTAGCGGCAGTATCAGTGTGGTACCTAGCTTAATGGTTACTGTGCTGGCCGCATTCCAGGACGCTTGAAAGGCCTTTATATAATCCTACTTGAAAGAGCATAGCCCTTAAGTTCGCGTTCCGTACGTGCTGCATGGATCAGTGACTGAGTGCGGCCGCCTGCGCACTATACTAGCTGCCACAGTGCAGCTTCAAATCTATTGGTTGCGACTTCTTTTTAAGCCCGTGCGTATCTGGCAAAGGCATGGGGCGATGATGATCCCATGCCAAATGATCCTGATTGGCAGCCTGTGGGCCCAGGCAAATTCAGGGATGTTACGCGCACCATATGTGATTGATACCCGCGTGCGCTTCTTTGGAATCGCCAATGGGGTTATATGGGCGGCCGCGGCCCGCAATCCACCAATCGTTGTCAGAGGACTCAGCGGCCGTCTCATTGGTTATTTCACGGCTTGATTGTTCTTATACCAGCAAACCTCAAATACATCATCTGAAGTAGAAGCACTGATCATGCGCGCAGATGATCATTCACTCGCAGTGACCTAAGCTGCTGAGTCCGACTGACTGGCACCATTTGTAAGTTGCATAAGACTTTGTGAATCATGCAACAATTGGCCGGCGCTGTAATCCTGCATAGAGTCCATAGGTACCGTACTAAGCTGCATGCCATGTTGCATTAGCAAAATGACGTTCAAGTGATTGCTGGGATGTATCTGGAGGCGATCTGACGTCGGACGACAAGATTATTGCCTGCATGCGGCCCGTGCGATTCTAAGTTCTTGGTCTCCATTTTAGTTCGCCAGGCCCGCTGCCGGTTAAAGGCGCGAGTGATTAGAAGTCAGGTCACTGTCATGTGGTTTCTGATCACAAGTAGTACACGTGACACTGAATGATGCATGACGAGAGCCGCCGTCGTGATCGGACGTTCAGAAAGGCGAAACGAGTCAATCGAATGATGCGAAGCATCAAGAAAAGGAAGAGCTAGCTAGTTTAACAACGTGCGCCCGAAAACCCCTGCAAACTGGAAGTCGTAAACGTAAGCTAGCTCCTGCTTACGTCGATCTTCCGTCATTGCACGCGGCCCACCTCTGCGCTCCAAAATTGTCGTCAAGGTCTGGTCGGGTCTCCGGCACGACAAATCCAGTCCAAGTCTGGAAGTCTGCTTTCGCTGCAACAGCTTGAATTGTAGCTCTTGGAAGTAGCATACCTGAAATCTTGTCTAAGAACACACTTTGACTACAGCGCTCATGTTGGCAACCAAGCGATCTTTATTGGAAGGAAGTTCTACGCCCCTCGACGCGACTCCAGTTGCACGAAGGGCAACGAGGCTCCGTACGGTGTGAATTGTTGCAAACTGGGCGACCGACGTCGAGCTTCCCTGATGGAAACAGTGCGTTAAAGTACGCTTAGCTCTTCAGAGGGCGTCCCTTTTGACTCCTATCATCAAACCGCTACCACAGTTGACTGCTTCGCGGAAGACTGCTAATACCAAGTTTGTGGCGACAAGGTACCCGCTTTTTGACGTCAGACTGTGGACTCCAGGCCACTACCTCATCTCTCTCTCTTCATGATCAGAACTGAACGCTCTTGCGAGAGCAACACGTAGCACCTGCACATTAGGCACACGTGGGCGAAGCCCCGGGCGTCGAGGAGCAAGCCCCGGGGCAACAAACGGAAGCAGATCCGGCGGAATTGAAGCACTGGTTGGTCGAGCGGAGCTCGGGTCACAAGTTCCCCCGGGCGCCAAAGTAGCAGACGGGGGAAGAGTGGAGGGAACCGGGGCATTTGTGGTTGGTACGGGCACAGACGTGGTTGGGACCGGGGCAGATGTGGTTGGAACCGGGGAGGTGGTACCGGCGCCGGTTGGAACCGGGGCGGGCGAACCGGTAACGCTGGGTATGCCCGGTGATCCGTCGGCACAGGACGGAACGGCGGAGGGGGTTGAGCGGCACTGCAGATGAAAACAGACGTGTTCAAGATCACACCCGCTCGCGGAACAGAGTAACACGAAGCAACTAAATCAGAGTAAGGAAAGAAGCTCCGCTTTATACTGGGCAGTAGATGGAAGTGAATTGGCCGAATAGTTCTGGAAATAGCACGAAGCGCGCTCGCGCGCGCTCGTCGGGGGCAGCGCACAAAGGCGGTCAAGCCAATGAATGGGAATAAAGGAGAGGGAGCTTACTCGGTTGGCGCAGCAACAGAGTGACAGTTCGTAATAGTTCGCAACACAGTAACACTTCGCAACAGAGTCGAATCAGCCACGTCTCCTTAAACCACAAGGAAAAGCTATCTTTTCCGGTGGACAATCGGCGAGGAGAGTGTAAGACAGTGTAAGACAGCACTAGAGGAAGCGCGCCTCTTTGTGCAGTAACACGACGCGAAGCAGCACAAGCAAGTTTTGGGAAGGAGAAAAGAGAGGGGAAGAAAAAGAAGAGAGGAAACGCACCTGCCCGGAGCAGCAAATCGAGGTGGATCCATCCGCGCTGAAGCATTGGTTGGGTGCGGATCCCAACGGATCACAGACCAGACTGGTGTCTGGAACAATCACCTGACGCAAATGAGGACAAAAGGTTCGAGTTTTGAGATGGATCAGTTGGTTCCAGCAAGAAATATCATTTTGTCCTTTCTTCGAAGTCGGTCTAGATCCTTTCAATCCTAGCTACCACAACAGAAAACGTCGGAATGCCGTCGCTTGAACACCCTTCCGTCTCGGCTACTTTGCTTCTGTGCGGATACGGGAGCTGTCATTATAGTGTGGTGTTCGTGTTTTTGAAGCTCGTGAAAGGGTCTTTCACGGCTCATTCTTCTGGACTACAAAGCAACCTTGGCAGGCAGACTAAGTTTTTCATTGATTCGTTTGGCACGGGTTTCAGTTGGTGTTGTGATTTTGACGCCCTTTGGATAGTAGAGGGAACAGAAGTAAGCGTTCC